AAGGGTGATTGAGATGGTAGGATGAAAGATTGGAACTTTCAACCTGCTACTCCTACAAAGCCTCCTATCTTCACATTTCATCTTGGTTTCTGGCTTGATATTTACTGCTGTTATCACCTATTGAGCTTTGTCAATATATGGCAAAGATAGGGCTTTATAATCCATGATCTCTTTTCTGAATTTTTTTTAAATTAGAAAACAGTGATGTAGCACCATCTCCTGAAACATATAGCCAGCAGAATCCTTCCCTTTTGGGGGGAAATAGACCATTCTTGCAAGCAAGCATTAAAATCAATTTTAAAAAATGAATGTAAAAAAAACATTACTTTTTAATTTTAATTGACTATAGCATATAGTCAATTGTGAAGCATTCAGTGGCAAGGCTGATGAAATATAGTGCAATTTAAACAGGCCACAATTTAAAAAGTTCTTCCATCAACGGGTATAAAGGAAATATAAGATTTTAGACAAATGGCAAGATGATGCTTGGTCCAATTATATTTTAGGACCTTGCTACGAGAAGGTTTTAAATTGCATGTATCTCTGCAAAATATTGTGGCATAAAAACTTTGTAAATAAATAAAAGCACACAATTACTGAACTGGTATGTAGAATACATGCACCAAACCCAAAATATTAGACTAAAGCCCACATAGTCAAAATAGAAATGAACTGTATGCAGCATTTTTAGCTGCATATTTTTCATCTCTTCTTTTAGAAAAAAAGACAAAAACAGATATCCCTCTGTTTTAAATTATCCCTGGAGTCCCGTTCTCTCCCCCCCACCCCACCCCCCCAGTTCCACTGCAGTTGATTAGGAAAGAAGGAAAGAAGGCCCTCTCTCTTCCTCAGCTTCAGTTTCCGGCTTATCTCTTTAATTTTAAAAAGACCAACACATTTTCTACCTAGACAAAAGGTAGAATGTTGGGGGATAATCTCCTTGATATGTGAACTCAACTCTGCCTCCTCAGCTTGAATGTTGATTGAAATTGAGAGCCTGCCTCTCAAGCAAGGCCTTGCCCACTAATTTCACTATGGTGGTTATATTGCAAAGAATACATTTGCATTATTCCCGAGGCATCTTGAGCAACTTCTATGCAAAATGTTTTCGTATTTTCATAAGGCCAGCCAGGAGATTGATATGCAATGTAGGTTGTTGAATTTGTTGGCTAGGCAGATTGTTGACTCACTCCAATTCTTTTGTTAAGGTCTTTCTCTGTGTGTTTGCTTCTGATGCTTCAGCCTGATGAATGAGAATAATGCCCCGTGAGCTTCAAATCTCTGTGCTTTTCTGTCCCAGCAGGAGAGAAGCTTTTATTTTTATGTAAAAAAACATTCTCACATAAAAAGTTTTATTTTTGGTTTAGCATTACAGCTAAATAGACAAGTTACATTGTACAGTATTTAAGCTGTGTTGATTTTTTTTTAACAACCCAAGGAATTCGCCTGGCTTGTTTCAAGCAAATCCATTTAACAATTTGGACTGATGCAAACCCCAGTTTTAAAGTTGAAATTTCAAATTCTTCCATCTGACTAGACCAAAGAAAAGAGTCCTGTCACATTAAAATGTGCTCTGTGATTATTTTATTTATTTTATTAAATTTGACTTCCAGACAATTTTTGGCAGCTTATATCCAATAATTTGAACATTAGCATATTGAAACAGTGCAAAAGTATTAATTATCCAATAATACAAACAATTAAGTCCCTTTAAAAGTAAAGTAGAATTGTTGCAGCATTAGATATTTCAATTTGATATACCACAGTCTTATGATCAGTTAGAAAGGAAAGGACTTTCGGATTCAGCAGGCCTTTTCTGATAAAACAATATCAGGTCTAAATTAATACTACCTATAATATATTACAATAGTGTTAAATGAGCTTGTTAACAACAGTTGCATTACTTAGCTCAGTTCCTCTTATTTACATGTGGAATAATTGTTTCTTAGCACTGCTCTTGAGTTTTGAGGGGGAAAAAAACAATATACAGGTAGTCCTTGACGTATGACAACAATTGAGCCCAAAATTTCTGTTAGTATCTGAGACAGTTGTTAGGAGAATTTTGCCCAATTTTACGACCTTTCCACATTTAACATCACACCAGTTGTTAAATTAGTCAAATGATTGTTAAATGAATCTGGCTTCCCAACTGACTTTGCTTGTCAAAGGTTGCAAAAGGTGATTGCATGAACCTGGAACACTATAACCATCATAAATATGTTGCCAAGCGTGTGGTTTTTATTATGTGACCATGGGAATGCTGCATTGGTCATGTGAAAAACGGTCTTAACTTACTTTTTTAATGCTTTGTAACTTTGGTCGTTAAATGAACTATTGTTAAGTCAAGGACTTTATAGTGATGTTCGGTTGGTTTGAGGTCTGCGGAAAAAACTCTCTCCAGGGAACCGGTCCCTGATGCCCCAAAGTTTGGGGACTGCTGGTTTATGTTGCTGTCCTCCCCAATCTGCGCCATGTATTCTTTTCGTGATTGTCTTGCTTGTTTTGAGCAACTAGTTGATCTTTTAATCCTAATGTGTAAGCCACTTATGATAGAGACAACACTGAAGTTGACAAACTCTCAACCCACAGAAACATTCAACTATGCGTGGCATTCTATTTGAAAGAAATTTCATACTTTTAGATCCATAACATAGATTGGGCAATCAATAAACCTCTGGGGTATTAGTAATAAATCATTATATAATAACAATTAAATATGCTACAAGTCATTTTATTTGAACAACGTTTTGTTAAAAAGGGTGTCCTTGGAGAGCCTTAATTGAGTCGTAGTATTTGATAGAAACAATTGAGGCAGGGCCCCTGCACTTATCACTGTAGGCCTAATTATTCACATAAGAAGGTAAATTATGATGAAATGGCCTGTTATTAATAGTTAGGGAAGACATTTATCAAAATGCAGACATAATATACAAATTACATATTTATATGTAGAAATTGAGCTGTATTTTTTCAGTCATTTCCTTTTGTAAATTTTAGGAATATGGAAAAATAGAATGAGGAGGATTAAAAAAATATCAACTAATCCAGCACTAATTAAATAAATCTAGCCTTTTTTTCTGAAGGCAGAATGCACTTAAAATAAGTTGCTGAACATTTTGCTTTGAGCTGTAAATTATTGTAAAATTATTCTTCATTCAGACCATAAACTATAGGGAGCTTAAGGATTCAGAATAAGAATGATGAAGAAAACTTCAAATGGACAGAGGAAAACCATACAATTTTCAATGCTGAGTTGGGTAACAGGATTAGTTAGTAACTGGACAGAAAATTCTACACACACACACACACACACACACACACGTGTGTGTATACATACAGAATATGTTCTTGTTTTAGCAAGTTGCTTACAGATATATTTTTGTGCAGAACAAGATGTGAAAAAAAACTATTGAAAGAAAAGACACGTCTACTGCAGAGCTACTGTTTTCATTTTGGTACATTAGTAGTAGCTGTATCACCCATGCTGACTGCTTATCCAATTCAACTGTGCAGTTCAATAGGTAGTAGCATTTGGAATAAATGACAGTGATTGTGTATCTGCACAATGCCACCTGTAAACTACATTACAAAGCAAACCTATGTTCCTCCTTGACTGTGCTCTGTAGTGATTTAACATTTCCACGCTGAGCAGGTTAGCAGAACAGAAATTAGAAGCAAATAAATGTAGGTGGTCTAGAAATTAAGGGATTTTAAATTTGCTGGGTGTTAGGCCAATAGAGGTAAGGATTTAGTAGATCAGACCTGGGCATTTTATGACCTACGAGCTACATTTGGCCCACAGGCAGTCTCTGTTTAGCCCTGGGCATTGGTAATGGGGGATTGGATATTGGTAGGGGCTGGGACATCAGCATGAAATCAGCATTGGAGCATCGGAGGGTGTGGCAGAGGTGCAGCAACCTGTCTTAACGCATGGGTCTGATGGGCACTTGCCTATGGGCCCCACAACCATAGGGACCCCATATGAATCTGTGTATGTTAACCCTTCAGTGCATCTTGTATCGTATAAATACAGCAGCATTTATTACATTTTACTGCATTTTTATTAATACCAACATAGAAATTACGTTTAATTTTATCGAGATTTACATTTTTCTGCTAGTATTTGTCATAGGGGCCCCCGTGCACTGCTTTGCCTGGGTCCCATAATGCTGCTAAAATAGCCCTGGCAGCAGCAGTAAGGGGGTTTGGGACAGGAGAAGGAGCAGAGAAGCAGAGCAGGGAGCGAGGCATAAGCCCTCTACAACATTCCCAGTTTCTCATAAATTTCCCCTTGGAAAATTTAATTGCCTAGCCATGCAGTGGATTCTCATTTTGCAGTAGATTCTCATCTTCCTGGAACTTTGAAGGCTAGTATTTCCTCACTTTAAAAAGAACCAATAAAGGTCTGTTTTCTGGACAATCTGGATGAGTACATTCTGAATTAGCATGGAATATGCCAGCTTTTTATGACAAATTTTTATGTTATAGATTTTATATATCTACCACTATTTTAAAAAGAGATCTGCTTCCATTGTTAATGCTATTTGAACATTGTAGAGTTATTACCATTGCTTTTTTTCTTTCACATATAGCATATCAACTAATGTGGAATGCACCATATTCATATGCATATTCATTCATATTCATAAATTCATTTCTTAGATTTCAGTAGAATTAATTTATGAGTGATATCTATTTGATTTTAATGAGAGATTGGCTTAAGTTCTATGTCAGAAAAAATGGCTGGACTGAAAAATCTGGAGATCTTAAAAACACTCACAGACAGTGAAACAATTTCAGTAAATCTCCTTGCAGTTGTTCCCATACTTGTTGGTTTCCCTATAAGCTGTTTAATTTTATTGACTAAATATAAGTATGAATGTAAATATATTTCAGAATCAACTGCTTCTCTTGCAATCTGAGCATGTTCTTCATTATGAATATAGAATATGAATATTGAAACACAGTTTTGATTATGTACTTCTCTTTCAATTTTCCAGCTAGCCAAAAAAATTCGAGAAAAGTTTAACCGTTACTTGGATGTGGTAAACAGAAACAAGCATGTAGTGGAAGCTTCATACACTGCTCATTTGACTTCTCCTCTCACAGCAATTCAGGACTGTTGCACCATTCCACCATCTATGATGGAGTAAGTATTCAAATATTTTCTATTGAAGATGGAAAAAGCCTTTTGTTTGTTTGTTTGTTTGTTTGGTGGTCATTGGATCTGATATTAGATCAAGAAGATGTTATATTAAGAAAGAACAAAGAAGGTCATGTTTAAAGTATAAAGGCTTTGAGAAGAAACTTCAGAAGTGGTTCCACATTGAATGTTGATAGCATGGGAATATTGAACAAGGAAAAATGGTACGGGGTTATGGTTATGATCTTCCATGAAATCTCTTTGGATGAGTTGCTGAAAGAAATCTATACAATTTAAATGGTTTGGAATAAATCATATACATTTATATATTGAGCATCTGGGATGAAATCAGGTATTTTTCATGTGCACTTCCTTCTTTTTTTGTACCTGCCCAATAGGCTTTATTAGTCATAGGAGAAAAGGAGAAATGCTAGTGATGGAATTTGGGTTTTACTTGCAATTACATGAATTATTGTTTAATAGCACAATTAAAATATTGTGTCAAGGGCTTGTGTAAATATGATAGCAAGGAAAATATATTGATCCTGGGGTGTAAATATAAGGACTATATTACTATTATTATCAGCTGAACTCAACCCACTGCAGAATAAAAGCCTGTTCATTGAATGTTATGGATCTCTATCTATGCTGATCCAATGCAGGATGGTAGATCATTATTTTTTACTTCCCAGATTAGGCCTGAAAAAAGTGACTTTCCTAAAGTCAGCAATATGGCTTCTATGTCTAAAAGAGAATTATAATCTGGATCTCCGCAGTTACAGCCAGCACCTTAATTACTATACCACACTAACTCTCAAGGAATAGAAATGTGTACCTTTCTATCTGACAGTCAACCAACCAATCAGTCAGTCGGTCACAAGCCCTAATATATAGCAAACAGTTGCTTGAGGAAATAACGATTAGTGCTGGTTATTTTAAAATAATGCTAACCTGAATGTGGGAAAAACTGTTATATTATCAGTCCATAAAAAATATCTACTGTATAAACAGGTAATGCAGGTGGTCCTCGGGTCACAGTGACAATTGGGACAGAATGCAGAATTCAAGGAATGCAGTCGTAAGGGATGTTCACATGACTCAATTCTTTAGCAATGGCAATCCGGGCAGTCAGGATTGCTCAGGATTGTGTGGTTCTTAAACGAGAAAAAGCAGGAATCCTAGGCAAGGCACATATGTGGTGTAGTGGTGGTGTGGGCAGGTGCTATGGAGTGTGGGAAGGTTGGCAGAGGTCATGGGCAGATGATACAGAATGCAGGCAGATGGGAGTGTGCCAAGAAGTATGAGATCCTTTCTCCAATACGCTTTTTTCTAGGGGAAAAAAGTGGCATAAGCAACTTACGGGAACGACTGCTTATGGGTAGCTGGCAGGGAAGCTCACATACAGCAGTCATGGTATTGTGCAATACTGCAACTGTTGTAAGTGCAAGCTGGTTGCCTTATGCCCAAATTGTGACCATGCAACTATAGGGGTACTGCAACAACTGAAACGTTGAGAACTCAGCATAAGTACCACTACCTTAAGCTGTATGAAAAAAACTCACTAAATCCATAGTTTACATTAAAGGTTTTGCCCTACCTTGCTTAAGCACATTATTTAGTACCAAAAGTGGCTTCCACATGTTTAAATATTATTAGTAGGCATTAAGGAAATTATACACCTCTTATTGCAGTTATATATTGCATTAATTGCCAGCGTCTGAGCGGACATCTGCCACAAGTGAATTTCCTATAAACAAACAACTTTTATGCAGCCTTATAAAGCATGCTTCTGTTTCATTAGATGAAGACTTCCAGAATTATAATGATAAACTGCTACAAATGCAAAATTACTATAAATAATTATATTATTTGTATATATTTTAATAAACTTAAAATTGGTTTATAATGGCAGTTTTGAAAAGATCAAAACTTCACCTATCACTTATTTTAAGCCATGTCAAAAATAGCAGAGCCTAATCTTAAAGGAACTATTATTCAGGAGCGTGCTAGATGTATTCACTGAAGACTTTGAAATAGCTGTACAGAAATCAGTAAATACATTTGAATTGTGTACATCAGTAAAATACATTTGAAATGTGTGCAGGGAATACATAACAGTTCTAAAAGTTAGAGTAGAGGTATTTGTACCAAACTGCAGTTGTTCATTTCAGGTAATTGTGGGCAACAACCTGTGACAATTTACAGATCTGACAAAATATTGCAAAATGGAAAGACATGAAGTATAAATCTATGGGATCAATTGTGGTCTTCATTGTTTAGAAAGAACGCCGTTCCAAGTTCTCTTTTGCTCCTTAGAGTTGGAAGAGATAGCTGAGATAGCAAGGTTTGTTCTTTCTTTTTAGCCGCAGCTAATATGGGATATTCCTGTGGAGGCCCTTAGGAAAATCGATAAAACTCTGCTGAATGCTTCATAGATATTTTCTTTTGAGTGCTCAGTGCATTTAAGAGGCACTGTTTTTTTATTATCAAACCCAGTGTTGATTCCTGGCAACTGCATGGCTAAATTCATGCAGGTTTCTTGACAACATTTACAGAAATGTTTTACATTTGCTATCCTTACATCAATGATAGGCAACTAGGGCCCCTTTATGGCCTTTGGACTTCAACTCCCAGAATTCCAGAACTGACTTTTAGCCACTTTTAGCCACTATAAAGAGTTGTGCAGTGGCCTAGAGGTGGAGCTCTCACCTCACGCTCAGGAGGCTGTGAATTCAATCCAAGGAAGTGGCAGATATTTCTCTCTCAGTAATTATCTGCTGGGAACTCTGTATTGGCAACAGGAAGGGCATCCGGCCAGGAAACACTCTGCTCCATGCAGTTGCCCTGACTTTACCCCAATGCAAGGGATTATAGGATCATTAGAAGAACCCCCTTCCCCGAAAAAAACTTTTAGCCACTACCTCAGAAGGGCTATCATGTTTAGTATAAATCTATTTAAAACTGTTAAATATCTTAAAATAATTATTGAGAACTTTAAAAATTGCCAGCATATTCAATCCTTAGTAACTCATATATTCAACTTTCATATGCCTAAATTTTGTTTTCTTTTTTTAATTAATTTTAGTGTTTTTCTTTCTAAAGATTCCTCTTAAGGATTGCTTTTATTTATCTTACTTGATGAAAAAATTGCACTGGAGAAATATTTACCTCTATAACTTATTACTTGGTCACTCTACCTTGAATACATTTACATGTAATATTTACATAGGTAAACCTATAGATCTATTGTTGAAGATCATATATGATAATTCCTTTAGAAAGTGACCTAGCTCACTTTCATAAAATAACTGCTTAAATATTTGCTATTGCAGCTTTAGCTTTATCGCAGCTCTTTCTTTTGTTTACCTGTCCTTTCCTGGGCTATGAAATGGAGAGATAAGGAAATTCCTATACTGATCTTTCAAGTTGTTTGTGGGGTTACATTGTCAGGAATGTTAAAATGGTTTGGTTTTAGTACAAGATACTCTTAACAGTATACAGAGTTACTTGCAAAAATTAGGAAAGTCTGGTGATCTTGTAGAGGTGGGGTATATATTAGATACAAATTAAGTTATAGTAATTAACTACTGAATATGTTCGAAGGTATTTCTGGACGTATGTAAAATTTAGGAAAGGATGTGATTGGCAATATTTAGCAAAGAATACAATAATGCCACTGCAGTGTTACATTACTTTCTTTCAGCTCTTCCTAACTGCTAAATGAATTTGATAATACAACAGAATTCCCTAGTATCAGATGTTCTCATGCGGAATTCAGTATCAGGATAATGCCACAGAACTGCATTTCTTATATTCAGTGTTTGGGTAAACCATGAGTTAATCGGATGAATTTTGGTTATGTGCCTTCAAAGCAGGCCTCCATTATTAACTTAGATTAAGACTCAGTTGGAACTTTTCAAAAATGCTGTTTGCTTTATATATTTTAGTTCTGCAGTATGCAAATAAAATATTGATTACAAGAACATGGCTGGCCATTAATAAAACATACTAGCTTCAGCACTTTAAAGAAAACTGTGGTTTCTGAATGACCTTGTTCTACAGCTGGTATTGGGGAACACAAGAATGAAGTGTATTCATGAGAAATTGACAGAAAATATGGCAAAATAACAGGGGATCTTAATATAGTAATCACATTCAGCTGATGACTAGCATTTTATATGCCCATTTCTCTTTCTTCATTTTATAAAACTGAAACTGCATATAAGTTGATTTATTTGTGAATAGTGAATAAAATCCAGTTGGCGCTTACACGAACACTATTTTGATGTAAGATTCAAAGCTCCTGCAAATTTATTTTATCTTCTCCATTTGCTGATCTTCTGCTTGTAAATCTTGTTGAAGGAGAATAAAAATGACTGCTGCCTGATGGGAATTAAATGTCTGAAGTTCAAAGCGCTTTGCACATCAGAGCAAACGTCAATCAAATGAACATCTTGCAAGCTAGGCAGGGAGCGAATTTCTCCATGGGGAAGAGATCAAAGCGGGAGTCACAGTTCTGTTTCCCCCCCTCGGGATGCAGTTTCGACCAGTTGTTCATTAAAGTGAATCCAGAAGGAAGAGAGTTTTCATATACTATAGTATAGAGAAAGAAAAGTAGAAGAGAAGACAATTTGGGGTGGAGCTGGATGTTTTTTCCTCTTGAAGCCAACATTAAGCATCATTTCAAATTGCACAGACTCTTTACCACCAACACATCCTCTCCCATTGTTTTAAAAAGGTACATGTTGAATTTTTATTAATAACTTTCTGTGATAAATCTATATTTTATGAATGAACAGAGAATAACTCCTTCATCAGTCTACATTCTACATTTAAATGCTGTAGATTGAGAATCGATTGTATGTTGATGCAATAAACATACACTTATTATATAAACACTTTTTAGGGTTTGTAAATAAACCACCTTTCAGGACAAAAGATATACTTAATTATTCATTCAGGTTTTAGCCAGAGGTATTAAACAGTTTACAGTTTAGTAAATATGATATAGTAGCTTGATGAGTTATACTCTAGATTTCCTTTTAGTAAGAACAGTTTTGGGGATGCAAAAAAGTTCCTAGAGGAATCTCCAGCACATCATGCTAACTGTTAAGGGAACATTTAATCCCAACAAGATAAATTTGATTTAACTCTAAGTAAACTTGAGTAGCCTGAGGAATGCATGGCTCATTTTTATTCAGTCAGTTCTTACATGAATATAACCATAATAACGTTGGAATGTGCAAATAGATCATTGAGAGTTTATTATCTGCAAAGTGATATTGTAAAAGAAAAAATAATAATTAAATGTATATGCTGCCCACCTTAGCATTTCCTTCCTTCTTTGCAATATCATTTGAAGATGAATAAATGTATAAAAGTTTGGAAATACTTATGATTTTATTCTGTTGTCAGCATATTCTTTCTCCATTCCTCATGGACTGTATGTCTTCCTTGCTGTTCCAAACATTCATGCATACAGTAGTGGGATTCAAAAATTTTTACGACTGGTTCTGTGGGCGTGGCTTGGTGAATGTGGCGTGGCTTGGTGGGCATGGCAGGGGAAGGATACTGTAAAATCTCCATTCCCACCCCACTCCAGGGGGAGGATACTGCAAAATCCCATTCCCTCCCTACTCCACTAACCTGCTTTCCAGCTCTGTTCTCCTGTGCAGGCAACAAAAGAAGACCCAGCCGATCAGCTGGGACTTGGGATGCAGAGAATAGATGTTGGTGGGGCCAGTCAGAGGTGGTATTTGACGGTTCTCCGAACTACTCAAAATTTGCGCTACTGGTTCTTTCTAGCTGGTCAGAACCTGCTGAACACCACCTCTGCATGCATACCATTTCTGCACATCCATTTTGGTTTGTGTTTTTGTTATAACACCACATAAAAGCCACCACCTTGCTCTCTCATCCATAACCAGCCAAAAGATGTAAACCTGCTCTTTATTTTGGGTGTGTGTGGGGGGAAATCTTTCTCTCCAAAGAAGATTTTAGGTTTGATCTGGGCAAAGCATGGATGCTGGGTTTTTGTTTTTGTTTTGTATCAGGGATGAAATAATAAAACCCCTCTTATTTTTCCAATTTGCTTGTTCTCCTGTAGGCTGCAACTTTCAGTTGAAAGACCTTTCCCAACAGAGACTTGTAGATAAGGAGTCTAGAAATCTCTGTAAATGCCAAAGAGTCTTGTACCTCTCATACTATGACCTAAATCTGGATTTGATGCTTTGGTTGCAACTTGCTACACATCTCTGCTAGTAAAAGAAGAAATACCTTCCTCTGAAGAAGGAAAATTTGGGTCAAAATGAAGAAGCCCATACAGCTGGAATATCCCCATCTTTCTGCAGAACAATTATACCACCTAAACGAAAATGATGAATTGTAGAATTTGCTACAACTTAAAGCTTTTCTTCCTTCAAATGTGGCTGATTTGGTGCTGTTTGCCATTTATTTGATGTCTGTTTCCAAGATGCTTCTGTGTTTATAAATCAAGTTGACCAGTCTTCTCGATATTTAAGGCTGTTCGCAGTGATGGAAAAAAAGCCCTGTCTGTCTCTATAAAAATTTGAAAGCAAGTATACAAGCTTATTTGTCTAATTTATTTTTCTCTTGGGCTCATTTCAGGTTTGATGGCAATTTTAACACTAACGTGTCTAGAACCATTAGCTGTGATAGATTGTCCACCACCGTGAGTAGCAGAGCATTCAATCCTGGGCGTGATTTAAATTCCGGTAGGTAAAGCATCTGTTTTGCAGAAGTTGCTGTATTTTACTACCAAATCTTCAGACCAAGTGCCATAGCAACCTAGTTTTACCCCCCTCTAAACCCGCTACATTGTTTTTCACTTAAGCTATAATGATAGAAAGTTGATTTCCTACAGTAATGCTTTTAATTATAGATTTATTTCAACATTCTATGTAAGAACTGTTGATGATTATAGCAGATTCTTTTCTCCCCTCTTTCATCTTCTCTGACTGCTCTGCTATCAGTTATGTCAATTCCCAATAGCAAGAGTCCAAAATGCTTATGATCTCAGAACATTCTATCTAATGTGCAATTCTTCTACAGTCACCACCTTTAATTTTGATGTTTGAAGATGCCGTGAATCTTTTTTTTTACTTCTTTGATACACCATGGGGTTTCTGTCATGAGAACAGATCCATTTGTTTGCTACTTTTTAAAAGAGGAAGGGTGGTCTTCCTGTTTAAGGCTGTAAGACTTTCACAAGGGATTCAATCTTTGGTTAATGTAGTCTTTACTTTTTGGCATTGCTTTCAAATGTAAATAATGGTTTTAATGTATTGTAAAGAGGGGACACTCTTTTTCATCTAATGCTCTAGATGATAGTTGTACCATGTTGCAACTTCTTTTCACTTAAAAAATCCTTTTTCTTTTCCCCATAAATGAAAATGAAGCAGAAGACAGGATGAGGGCTGCTCAGATAAGATCAAAGCTGAAACTAAGATGTGTTAGGTTTGAGAGAATTCAATTTTCATTACATTCCTGCTTTTACTGTGACTGATAGGGATGCTTATTTGTTACTTAGGATTTTTTTTTAAAAGACATTCTTGTGAAGATGGGCCCATTAGCAAATCAAATGGTGTTTCAATCTTGCTCTCTTTCCTTTTCTGCTTCCTGCTACCTGGACTATCCTTAATTCTTTCTTCAATGGAGGAAAATTAAGGTACCCTACAGCAGACTCTTTGATATGGAAACATCAAACTGCAGTAAAGTCATGCCCAGGCTTTAAAGTGCTTTGTTACCTTTTGCTAGCTTCAGAAATGGTTATATCAACAGTAATGACTGAACATGAGAAGGGGTGGAGTTGATTATTGAAAATGGTTTGCTGGTAGATACCTCTCTGTGTCAGTTCCATTGTTTTTCATGATTCAGTATTAATATTTCCATGTCTGTTTTCAGCTGTAGTAGACAGAGACAGAGAGACAGACTCTAACTGAGTTAACACAAGCGTTCTTGAAACAGTCCCAAAATAGATGTGCTTAACTGCTTATTAAGCCCAACCCACCAGGGATATCCCTCAAATAACACTTGCATAAGAAAAGTTCAAAAAGATTTGCAACATCTGCATGCAAATAAAACTCCAAATGAGTCAGGGTTAAGTACATCCATTTTGCTCTAATTCCCCAGCCCCCAATACCTGCTTCCAAAGCCTATAATATCTCATTGTAGAAGTTCTACGATGTAAAATGTTTGCCAGGGAATCAACTTTTTACATTCCTGGTTTTGGGAGTTGTACCTTAGTTTGTTTCAATGACGCTTCAAAGGAAGCATTATGTTCCTATGAACCTGTTTTAGTGATTAGGGAGAAACGATGTAAGGACTCATCTTTTTGTTGTTCATGTTTGGAATTTGTTCTTTTCTATATGTTTTGCCTTTGAGAAGGAAAGAAAGTAATTTCCCCATTCTTCAGTTAAGATAAAATATTAATACATGAAATCAGTAGGGAAAACATTGCCTACTTCTTGAATAATGTGGTCACTTTTCAAAGGATAGATTGTTTCTGAAAGTTAAACAGTCTTAGAAAGTTAATTGCTTTCTTCCTTATCTTTGGAAAATTCTGAGCTTTTCTCCTCTTTCCTTCAGCTAGTTTAGTTCATTTGCCTCCACTTGGGAAAAACTACCAATTTTCTATAAAGCTGTGATTATTTTTCTATGACCACAATATACAATCTTTTGTGAGATAAGCAGGAACTATTTTAGCTGAGAAAAATATGCTTTCTTCCTCCCTTCAGGTGCACCTTTTAGCTCCCATCTCCTCAAACTACAAGAATTCCCCACAGAGATGCCTCACTTTCTTCCTTGATGAAAACCCTAAGAGATGTGATTTAGGACTCAATTTTTCTTCATTGCACCTTCTTTAATCTTTAAAATGCAATCCTGAACTTTAATATCTTCCAATATCTACAACAAAACCAGTTTGAGGAGATGTTCTATATTCCCCAGAGACAGACAAAGGTGTTGTGAGCTAACTGTGTTTGCAAGTTGTAACTGTGTTTGTCAAGCTGCATTTTACTTCAAGAATCACTAACTGTGATGTTTGATAAAACTGCTGTGATTTTTAGTTGTTATTTTATGCCAGATGATGTGAGAGCCTTGCAATAATTAATAAGCTAGAGGTTAAGCAAAGTAGATTTATTTTGTTTCTAGTGTTGGATGTTGTTTAACAATATAGTGCAATAATATAGATTTTGCATGTAAATCTATCTGATAATATCTAATGACTGTCTTGTAGTCAGATTATTTCCAGGAAAAAAATAAATCAAAATGTTTGAAGCCAAAAATTATGCCATTGGATTTAGATGTAGCTGTGCTGTAGAGTTGCAATGATAAGTTAAAGAGATTACAAAAATCACGTGGAAATGATTTGCGAGCAAATAGAGTTCCTGTATTTTATGCCTAATTTTAGGAGTTCCTCATAATTGTTTTTGATCCTTTGTTTATTTTGTTTTTCCTTACTTCACTTTGAATAAATATTTATTGTCCTCTGCATGTGCAGTATATATTTACTGAATTATATCTTTAATTGATACTCTGGTGAAAAACGATGCTTACCAATTTGAGTCTCTAAATTATACAGGTAGTCCTTGAGTTATGAATGTAATGGCATCTGCCCATTCCATTCGTAACCTGAGGATTCGTGGGAGTGAATCTTGTACTTTGAATGGGATCACTCTCACCTTTCACCCATGTATTCACTATTTGAATGTGAGGCTCGTTAAGTGCACATGAGGTATTTCATGGTGGCGAAGGCCATGGGGGCCTAGTGATGACACAGGCCACATGCCTAAAACCACCCAAGGCCGCCACCCTGACCCTCTGAAATATCTCATGCTCCCCACAATTGCTTTTCCCCTCCACTAACCTGCTGCGGCAGGTCATTTACTGTGTGAAGATCTAGCAAGCAGTCTCCTTTCCAGGCTCTCAGCTGCATGTTCCCCATAGACGTTCTGCTCAGGCCTCCAGAGGCCTCTCCTGGCAAGTTGCAGGCCAAATTGGAGGGGTGGATCTGAACAGCAGATCCATCCTTCCAATACTCCATTTCGCCCTGCAACATGCCGGGTGAGGCCTCTGGAGGCCCGAACAGTGCGTTGGAGAGGCAGATCCATCATTCGGAAGCTCCATTTTGGCTGGCAACGTTCAATATGAATGTTGCAGAGCCTTTGCAGTTGTTTGTAAGGGCGAATAACTACCATGGTGCTGCAAGATTGGTAGTTTCGGGATGTGTTCATAAACTCTAGGGGGCGCTTATCTTCAAACGTAACTTCAATGTAACTTCAAACATAAGGGAAGACTCTTAACCTTGGGATTGCTTGTATACAGTATATGTCCACCTATAGAAAATGGAGATATTGGTTAGGAACAAGTCCAGCAGCATCTAGAGCAGATGTGTCCAACCTGTGGCCACCCTGGACAACTACTAATGTAGCTCTACAAGATAATACAATTATTAAAAGGTTTGTTATTGATGTATATTAACTATATTATATACTTTATATGCTGACAATTCCTTTTCACTCAATGTGGCCCAGCGAAGCCAAAAGACTGCCCAGTCATATTCTAGATCAGTGATGGCTAACCTTTCTGTCCTCTTACGCCAAAAGTGCACGCGCACACATGCGTGCACGCGCACACACGTGTGGCAGCACCCATAAGGCAATGCATGCCCCCTGCTCATGTGTGCGCATCTCCTGCACGCACCCTGCCCCCACATCTGCGCGGTAGCTGCCCGACAATCAGCTGGTGGGCAGGCAGCGCACACACATGCACAGTGGACCTGCTCCAGGGCGATGGCTTACGTGCTGGCGGAGATGGTTCTGCATGCCACTTTCGGCACACGTGCCATAGGTTTGCCATCACGGTTATAGAGTCTTCAGATTCAAAACATACTAGACACACAACTCTTTTTAAAATCTAAAAGAAAAAAAATGAACAGAAACAAAACTAAACAAAAAGATCAAAAAGAATATGAATTAAGAAAAACAAGGGACAAAAACACAACTTTTGTCTAGTCTGGAAATACTGTAGAACTTTTATGAGCTTGGGGCTATTGGGATTAGATAGGTTAAAACTAAAGTTTAAAACCTAAACTTTAGGTTTTAACCTAAAGTTAAGCCAGGTGAGATAAAATTGCTGCTTGTCTAGCATGTTTTGAGTTTAAATATTTGATGATGCTTCCCATGAAGGAGCAAATCCATAATCAGGACTCTCTCTAAATTCATAATAGAGATTGACAAAATCATGCACAAAATGGTAGCAGTTCTTGCTTGCTATACATTTCATTCATGGTATGAAGAGAGAACCAAAGGTGAATCATGCATAATGACAGTTTTATGAAAATAATAACATTCAAAACATAAGGATAATACTTCCAAGACCCAAAACATACTTAAACAGATAAAAATTCATCTTCAGGGCTAACCTGTACTAAAAACAGAGCATCATTTACTTGTGGCACAAGGTTACTTTGGTAAGTTATTCTTGAATATCAGTGTTGGGTGACATAGGCTGGAAAAAGCAGCCCTTGTACCATATTTCTACATCAGTAGTTCCTTTAGGAGAATGATTCCATATTGGTAGCAGAAACACGAAAAGCTTAATTCAAAAGCAAATGGATTTTACAAATGCATTTACACATGTATTTTTGTCTGAAATGAAATAGTATGCAGACATGGTCAAACACTGATGTAACAACCAGATTTAAATTTGAATCTGCTGCCAAAGAGCACATAAACAGCTTTAATAATACTGTTATCTTGTAATTAGCAAGCTTTGCAATACAGGTTGATTTCATATTCTAATAAATATGAATCTATCAAAAATATAAAAATCATTGAGGTGGAAGATTTATTCCTTGGGTGATCTGTTGCCTAATTTTCTCTATCCAAATCTATTGCAAAAGTCGAAGTCTGGATCATTATTGACTCTATGCCATTAGCTTTTATATCTAACACTGCCATAGGTTCTTTCCAGGTTTGAAATATACTTCAACATTGCCCTTTTGTTATAAGATTGAGACTCAGTTTTCATGTCTGATCTTCCATTGCTGGAACTTTAATCTTATAGCAAGAACAAGCAAAAAATAAATAAATGGTGTGCAAATTCTTGCTGAGACTGCCTAATTTATAGCATCGTTGTAATTTAGGCTTTACATTCATTTATATTTAAATAAACATGTTTCATCTCCTGAATATTTCTACTTATGCCAAAAAGGATCACCGGTCTTGCAAAACCAAAGCCAGTTAAATTATTATGAGAAATATTCTATTGCTTAACTTTGTTGTATTTATCTTACAGTTAAACATCTGATGTTTTAGTATAATATAATACATGGGTTCCTTCATGTCGAGATAGTAGGTTACCAAGAATCAATTCATGTAATACCTGGGCAACATCATAGTTTGGCTTTGTAGGCATATATATTTGCTTGCACAACACTGCACCAAATCCAATTCACACTGAGGACAAGACTTCCTGCCTTTGTTTTAAATGGGAAACTCTTTCATCTTTTAGAAGTCATTGAAAGGAAGAAGTTTAGGGTGTGTATGTGTTTTTACAAACCCCTCCCTTTCTCCAGCTTATTCTTTAAAATAATCTGCTGCACTGCAAAGTTTGCGTTGATCCAATGAATGACTAGATTTTTAGCCAGGAGGCTATTGAGCTTAGCAATGAAATAGTTCAGGCAGCTCTGTCAGCAAGATAAAGCTTTAGTCAGGGTTCAACAAAGCAATTCCTCCAACAGGCATATTTCTTGGAGAGCCCTGTTTTATAAGCCAGGAAGACCCTGAATGGCTTTTCATCTGATTAAGTTTGGCTATGGGGTTGTTATATGCTTTCCAGTGATTATACTAGTGATAGTGCAAAACAGTAAGGAGCAGGTCATTAATTCTCTCATCCTGTGTGTTCTCTGATGACATAAAGCGGGGGGGGGGGTTTACGTTGGCAATTTTAAGACCTTCATTTGCCAGGATTCCTCAGTCAGGCATTCTGATTTGGGGAGTTGGTCCACAGATCTTAAAGTTGCCGATGTTGGACATCTCTAACATAAAGAGTAAAGTAGCTAAGCGTTGAAAATGAGCTAGCTGGCTGCAGTTCCACTCAGTCAGGGGTGGGGAACTATGTCGCTTTTATGACTTGTGGACTTCTACTCTCAGAATTCCTGAGCTGGCTGGCTCAGTAATTCTGGGAGTTGAAGTCCACAAGTCATAAAGGGGCCATTGTTCCCCATCTCTACCCTAAGTAGTTCCACTAAGTTGCAGCAGAAGTACTGTTACTCCAGTTGTAGTTAACCTGCTGTAGAAACATAAAATAAACTATGTTTTCTTTATTAGCAGGCTTGGCATAGGGAATGTGCAGAAATATATAAGCAGACAGTACATGCTCTAATAAAACAATCATAAGTTTAACTAACTACAAAGTTTAGTTTTGTGGGTAATGCTTTCTGCTGAAATGATATAATGGAGAAGTGGTTATGTATTCTTTATCTCAGATAACTGCAGTCTTGGCATTTACTATCAGATCATCAGATCATAATCGTCATCTTTGAGAGAACACCTGGCTTCTGGTAATTCCAAAGAGGAGTGGGATGATACGAAAATTTTAGAAAAACCATCAGCACAAAAGAACTGGCAATTTTAGAATGATGATCTCATGGACTTGAAAGATTACTGAGGTTGAGCTGGCTGAAGGGTAGGAGGGAAGGAAGGTGCTGTGAAGATAGATGGGTGTGCAGGAAGACCTTGGACTGATGGGAAGGCACTGAGAAAATTGGTGGATGTGCAAGAAGATCAGATTTTGTGTTGTGGGAAGACTGGTGGCAGACTACTGAGAAGGTGGGAGGTGAAGTCCCAGTGAATACTTTAATGTTTGTGCAAAAAAGCATATGGATTTAATGGATACTGAGATGGGATACTGAGATGCCTAAAAAGGCATAATACTGAATTGTGTGAGAATCTTTGGTGTAATCACTACTTTTAGACCTGCCGGAGTCTAAGCATATGTGTGTGTATCTAAATCAAGGTCTTTGCGATTTTCTTTTTTAGTCACTGTACTTTAAATATTTGGGAGTTCTTTTTTTAGAAGTCAGCGTTTAAAGGCCCTTTTAGCAGACTTTTTTTAAAAACACCTATTAAACATTATTACTTTGGGGATCAATAGTTTGTTTTAACCCTACATGTACTGAGCATATAGGAGTTCTGTTTGTAAACCTAATTTGTTTTTCTTTTGTTATCATTCAGTCTAAGAAAGACTAAATAAATACGAATAAAGTTGGTATTTAAGTGGCAAAATGTATCCAACAGCTGTGTCTCATCCAGGCTCAAATATCAACTAAAATCATGTCTCACTCAATAAATTAAAAACCAAACCTTGAAAAGGTTCTGTTTGAATAATTAAGAATTTAGAAAATAAGTGAGAATGAGCAAGTAACCTGAACTTCAATTTAGGATGAAATTCCCTAAAGCTTATATTACTTGCTCTGTTGCTTTACTTCCTTGGATAAATATCTCTACATTTTTTCTGTTCCTAACTCTGTAATTGTAATATGAGAATAACATTGTCCCAAGTGTGCAATATGTGATTTTACTTGAAAGGCGAAGAAAACTTCATCATATCTAACATCATTTTTATCTTTCTGTTTAAGAATGATATTTAATAGGTGCAGTTAATTTGAAGCTAAAATTCAAACCTTAAAACATGCCAGAAAGCCAATTTCTAGAGCTACATTCCCCTTTCATTTCAGCAAAGGAAACCCAAATCTTTTCCTTGTGGGAATTATTCTAGTGGAAAGTATAAAGAAGTCGTCTGTTTCTAATGGATTTTTGACACGTGGAGAAAGAGTTATACTTGCGGAAAAGAAGAAACCTAACTATTTAAAATGGGAATGTGACAAAAGTGAGAAATGAATAAGAAACTTGATATAATATAAATATGGTTTGAACATAGATTTGAATTATTACCTACTCTTTAATGTACATTTAATGTTGTTTACAAAAGTGTTCCATTTTTAACATTTGGTAAACTAGCATAGGTATGATCTGTGAGATGTATGAGATGGAGCAAGTGGAAATATGAGGATATATTCCTACCATCTCAACTAGAGTATTCTTTCTGCAGAAGTAAGAAGTTAACCATTAGGGCAGGGGTGTTAACATCACGTCATGATAGCATCATATGAGGTATCAGGACTTTTTTCCCCCCTTCGCTAAACCAGGTGTGGGCAAGGCCAACACATGATGTATCCAGCCCATGCCGGAAGTTTTGACAGCCCTGCATTAGGGTCTCAAATAGAATTGATTCCCTCATTCTTCCCCAGACAACTTATTTTCCAGCCAATATCAACTCTTGAACCCAGGGCTGCTGGGGAAAAGGCTGTATACTTTAGAATGAAATGATGGGATTAGAAGGCCTTCCTTTCTGCTATCTGTGAAGAACTCTCCTTAAGCCTGCTGATAATTAGCCACTTGCTTATTAGGTTCCTTACTTTGCCCTCTTCTTTCAGTAGCAAGACACCAAGTTGTCTTTTGGAAAGGCTGACTATGAAATGATCTGTATGTACATAGCCATAGGAAGAAAAATGTGTAACTGTCAGCATGGACGGATCAAGGGCTGTATGAGCCGCAGAGGTCACCAGCATTTTACTGTTCCTCAACCATTTCTAAAATAGTCTTGACTGGAGATTCCTTGTTCCTTTTTAACTCAACCAAATCCATTTCCCTTACAACTGTCTGCTCGTTAGTATTACAGCAAATTGAATTCTATAATAGCAGCACTGAAATAAGAGCGGATGATATAACCGCTCTTTGGAGGAACATTTTAATTCTACTTCAGCAGCAGGAATGCAAGCCGGTTATTCTCAAATCCTAAAATTTAATTTCCTGTGTGTGTGTGTGTGTGTGTGTGTGTGTGTGTGTGAGAGAGAGAGAGAGAGAGAGAGAGAGAGAGAGAATGAATGTGTTTTGTTTTTTCTCATAAAGGTTTTTTCTCATAAAGGTTTTCTCATAAAGTTCCTATGCTTCACATATTAGCATATATTATCTCCCTGTTATTTTAAAATACATGTTCTGTTATAATGGTAGAAAATCTGAGATACAGTATATCAAAAAATTTTGCTCCAAGAAAGTCCCTGATCTTCTTTATTTCATAGGATAATTTCCAGATTTGTTGGTTTATCTCAGTATTGTGTCTTGCAGATTTGAATGTAGCCTCTGGACCATAATATTTGCTGAAAATAATAACAGTAGGAGCTATGCACCGATTTTAATGAGGGCAACACTATTAAACACATTAAAATATTATTAAACCCATGAAAATAAAGTAGGCTTATGGTTAATGGCAATTGGGCTTTTACATACAGTACGTTCCTTATGAAAGTTATCTAGAGGTGGTATCATTTCAGACAGCTTGGTGCTATAATAAGAAAACTTTTAATCAAATAACATTTAAGGTATTTTTTTCCTTTCCTTGTAATACTGTTAATTTCTTTTTTGTTTTATTATATTTTTAATAGTCCTTGCTGACAATTTGAAATCAAATCCTGGAATCAAATGGCAGTATTTTAGTTCAGAAGAAGGTATTTTTACCGTGTTTCCAGCTCACAAATTCCGATGTAAAGGCAATTATGAACACCGCAGCAGGTATGTTTTTGATGAATTCAGTATAAGCATTTTGGAGATAAAAATACTTTTATTAGTAATGTGATTCCAGTAGAGAATTTAGATTCCAGGCATGTCAAATGACAAGATTAGCATAATGAACTCATTCAGAGTGTAGCCTTCCATCATCTCCCAATTTAAAAAACACAGATTTTTTAAAAATTATATCCATTAACATTACAGGTAGTCTTCACTTAACAACAGTAATTAGGACTGTAATTTCTTGTCTCTAAGTGAAGCATTCATAAAGCATCATGTCATTTGACCATTCCACTTGGCAACTGCAATTCTGGCAATCCCGGATTTAAAGTCATTAAGTGAGAACAGGATGGATTGTTCATTGAGGACCTCATGTGGATGTGATTCCTGAGTTTCTGCCAGCTTCCCCATTTTTTTTGTTTGTGAGAAGATGGCAGCAGGGATCACAGATCATGATCATGTGTCCATGAGGTGTGCCATGCTCAGAAATCCGGACTAGTTCTTGGGCAAACAGATCACAATGACCTGACCATGGAAGTAGTACAGTGGCTGGAACTTCAAGTACCATGTGTTCAGTGATGTTGGCAAGTTTTGAAAGGTTATTGAATTAGTGGCCAATAAACAAAGATCACCAGTGGTCTCTTTTAGCTTTCCCAATCCAGGAGAAAATAAATGGCAATTGTTCTCTTTTTCTGTATGGCATTTTAAACATTTTTTGCTCTTTAAAAAAATGAACAATTTTTTCAGAAGTATTTTACACAGATAAAAAAAAACTTGCACAGCACATCCTGTATGAATTACATTCCATATTATTAATAGAAACGTTGGCCTTGACATTATACCTTTATTCATGAAGGGGAAAAAAAAACTCTTAAGCCTAATGCAGCAATACAATTGTACACTTCTTGCATAGTATTTTAATATGCCAGCAATTGTATTAGATTGCATTAATTTATTTTCCTAATTTGGAATCAGTGCATCAGATGACATAGCTACATATCAGGGATATCTTACAATTCTATTTTATGAATGATTATTTTTTTAAAAAATTATTAATGGGCAAACACTATAATTAGTTGTACTTGTACTAAAGTACTAGTTGTACTAGCATTAAAGAATACTAAAGGCTGTATTAAGATAATCAGTATAACTCGTTCCAGTGTAGTTGGATTAAAGGCTGAGGTGACGGATTATAAATAGTATCTATATGATACCTACTTACATAGAAATAAAAGGATAAAATATAATATGATTCTGAGTAAAAATATGAAGGCCAACTTTTGAGAGAAAAATACATTTTCTTTTTTAAATGATAAAATTGGCAACATATGATTGTTCTGTATTTGTAAATACACAAATTAGAAATAAACTAAAATGTGAAAAGATAGAGACACTTGTTTGATTGCAGGTGAAACTTCAGTTTTCGTAACTCCTACTATGAAGGTTATAAAATCATAAAAATAAAGAAGTAAAAACTGGAAACTAGTGCTTAGGATTTTTTTAAAAATTAGACTGGTTGGGATTTCCTGGTAAAAGCACGTGCATTTTCACCCTCCCTTTTCCTCCTTGGCTTTTTTCCTAGAAGAATTAATGCATTCTGTATCTGAAGAAAATCATCTTTTGTGATATCTGCAGTGCCAATTGTTTCTTCTTTTTTCAGGTTAATTTTTTTGCCTGCATCCCTTGAGCATGCAAAGCATAGGCATGCTATATTCCTTGAGGTTCAGCAAGATGTAACTCTGATTCAAATAAAAACTGAAAATTAATAGTGGTTTAATTATCAAATATCATACATGCTGTAAAGTAACAAAGTAACTATTTACAAAGAATGCTTTTAAAAAATGGCCATATTTTACTTCCAACATTTCCAGTTTTGAGAGTGGAGAACAGGAAACACATTTTTTTTGTTATTTAAAATTCCCAGAGATTTAATGAGAGGTCCTTGACTCTCTCTGAGCTTGGTTGTTTTCTTGCAGAGGTTTCATTCCCCAAATTAGATAATATCATCATCACTAGCGTTGATATTCAGGGGTGGGCTGCTGGGGTTCGCAGGGGTTCGGGAGAGCCCCTAGATAAGATTCTATGCAGTTCAGAGAACCCCCAAATCCCACTCCTAGCTGGCCCCACCCACCCTACCTCACCCCTCCCAGGAGTCCCCACGCGGCCCGTTTTGAATGCAGGTAAGTACAGAGCGCGCACAGAGGCTCAGGGAGGGCAAAAAACGGGCTGCCCAGAAGTTTGGGAAGGCTGGAAATTGGCCCAAGAAAACAACCAAGCTAAGAGAGCACCAAGGACTCCTTATTTCAATCCTGAGCTACAGAGATTTTATAGCTTTACTTCTGAGTTAAAAAAAAAATAGGCTTGCACTGTTGGCATGTCAGTCAATTTGCTATTCAGCTAATTCTAGTCAGAACATTGTCTTCTAATATTTGAATTCTTCACCATTTTTATCTTCTCGCAAATCTGGATATCTCACTATTATTGTAGCTTTTGGAAATGAGATGTTCTGGAAAACAAGCTGGTTTGCAATTTGCTGAAACCAAAATAAATCCATAAACATAAGTTTAACACACAATTAATTCAAATAATAGCTTTGGACAATGAAAGAAACTTACTGAGTTTGTTCTGTTGCAATTCTGTAACTGGGTATAAAACACAGCATCGTATAACTTTTATTTTTAGGCCTGTCTACGTCTCTACAGTTAGACCTCAGTCTAAGCATGTAGCTGTCATTATCGATCATGGAGCTTCAGTTACAGAAACACAACTGCAGATTGCTAAAGATGCAGCCCAAGTTATTCTGAACTCAATAGATGAACATGATAAGGTGAGTTAACTAGAATGATAAGTCAGAACTTAGTTTTGATCCTTCAGATGTTTGCCTAATTTCTCCCAAAGTATTGGGAGAAAGAGCAACTTTGGAAATGGGGGAATTGTGATGAATCATATAATGAATATAATCGCCCACACAAGGTGTAAAGTACCCTGTCCTCTGCTTGAAAACCCAAATATTCAGAGGGAAGGGGCAGGAATCAGCCTATCTCCATTGCCTTATGAAGCTGTAGGGTGTATTTATGCCAGTCTCAATTTGGCATAAAGAATGTCTACCCCTTTATTATCAGTGGGATAGAAAAATAGAAACTAGCAGGTGAGATCAAATACGGGAAAAGTAAGAATATATACCACCTGATCTGAAAATCCTTAACCCAAGGGACTTTAGAAGTGGCAAGTGATTTGCCTCTTCACTCAACCGTTATCACATAAGCTTAAAGATTACTGAATTAATTAATTAAAATTCCTTACTTTGCTAAGGAAGTGCTCAAAGGCTATTCAGGAACCAGTACTAGTGGCTTCCCTCACTCTGTTTCTCAAGCTTCAAATATGGCAAGGGAAAAACTGAATAGATTTAAACATAATCTGGTTATCTCAGAGAAGAAGATGACTAAAAAAATAAGATGAGGCAGCTTTCATCCTTTTCATTCTGAATTTTGGAAACTGTATTGGAGGAGACTTTTAGTATGGAATGTGTACTTATAGCCACTTGCTACACACTCTGGAGAAAAAGATTGATTTATTTTTTCATGAGCAAGTACTAGAAATAAGATTGTCGCTTTAAATTTCATTCAAGGGTCTCATAAAATGTAGGCTCCTCACTTGTTCCTGTTCCCTAAAATAATCTGTTCCCTAAAACAATCTGCTGTTTGCTCTATGTTTTCATTCCTAGGTTTCTGAAAGTTCAATGACAGTTTCTGATTATTATTGCAAACATTTTACACAAGAAATACTTCACTGACAAATTAACGATGTGATTTTTCATAAATTAACCATCATTAAGTTTTACAGATACATGCCTTTAGTTTTGATTCAATAATTGAATTTTAAAATCAAATAGACCTTTCTATTGTTATTATGGTACAATGTAAAAAAAGGCAACTCTAAACAGAAGGTGTTTTTCTTTTATCCTTCTTCAGATTTCTGTGTTAACTGTGGCAGACACAGTGAGAACTTGTTCTTTGGATCAGTGCTACAAGACATTTCTGTCTCCTGCTACCAGTGAGACAAAAAGGAAAATGTCCACCTTTGTTAGCAATATCAAATCATCTGACAGCCCTACCCAGCATGCAGCAGGCTTTCAGAAAGCATTTCAGTTGATGCGAAATACAAACAATAGCACTAAACTTCAAGCGAGTAAGTATATTGTTACACAAAATTAATATCTTTGCTCCTGACCTTTTTGTTCCTTTTTGGATTTGGATTTTTCTTTTTAACAGGGCAGAGGAGAGGAGAATGTCTTGAATTCTACAAATATTACCTATAAATGTTTTTGTTTTTAGCTTAGTCTATACAACAACCCAAATAAACCCAAATACAATAAACTTCATTTATTGTATTGTTATCATGTACTAATCTTTCTGTATCATTTCTCATCCCTTAATGATTACAGATACTATTATTAATACAGAAGTACAATATGATGATATACTATGGAAGTTGTTTGTGGTTCCATTTTTCCAGGGTGTTTTCCCCCAAAAAACATACAGTCTTGGTCTATCCTAGTAGCCTTCCATCCAAGTACTAATAATGGACAACCTTGCCTAGTTTTTTCAAATAATCCAAGTTTAGTTATACTAATTAATATTTAAAGTTGTGCAAAGACCACATGTCTAAAGAATAATGTGGATGAATAAAGTGTAGTTCCAACATAAAGCTTTCTTAAATGTTATGGTTATGCTGGACTGTCACATTGACTGATTAAAGCTGTATAACAAAATTTTGTATAAGATTAAGCCAGAAGATGTGTTTGTATTTCTGAATGCCAGTTAGAGATAATGAAAGTAGACTGTTACAGCATTTGGTATCATTAGCAATAATGATTACATTTTTCACAATGTGAAAAAGTGATCCATTGCGTACAAAAGTCGGTTGTTATAACAAATATATAACAATTATGTACACACACATGCACTCTGGAAGTATCTCCCCTTATTTTACATTGGGGTTATTGTAGTTTAGCATAAATATTTGTACTGAGGAACTACACTGTGTAGTAAAGTACTGAGTACTCAGTATAGTACTGGTGAACTATATTGCTTGGTCATTGCCAAAGAGCTTTCATTTTTATAAACTATCTTCTTGATTGTTGTGATATCTAATACAAATATGGTTGTATTAAAAATATTGTGATGTTTTTAACATCCATCATGCTTTCTCAGCACGCTCAACATGCACGTCATCAAATCTTCTGAATGGAGGGAGATTTGTGATGCAAAATTTTGTTGTGGAACACCTAGCTCAAGAAATAAGATGAAGTATTGCATTTTTAATGTCTTTCAACTATTAAAAACGGGCATCATTTAATTAATTTACCTCCTTAATTTCCTTTAATTCTAGGAACATCATGAGACTTTCAAAATTATTACCAGAATGCGACTTACATTGTAATTCAGTAAATCAAGAAGAAAAAAAAAACAGACAATAGGCTAGAATATATTTGGCTGATGGTAGAAAATAAATGTTGGGAGGTTGAAAATACTAAAGCAGGGGTGTCGAACTCGCATCATCACAGTGTCATCCTGAAATGTATCCTGACTTTTTCCCCCTTCGCTAAACATGGCAGCACATGACAATTCTGGCCCTCAGACCACAAGTTTGTTAGCCCTGCACTAGAATATGCCAAATTCTAATTTAGTACATGAGTAATATAAATTAAGACATATATAACTGCAACAAAAAGAACAGTTTTTGAGAGTTGGTTATCAAATTTATAAAGAGGGGACTATTAACAATAGCAATGTTTAGTGTCCTATTTGATGACAGTTACATTCCCTTAATGGCTTGTTCTTTAGGCACTGACTTACTGAATGTTTTTCCATGAGCTGTTGATTAATGATTGTAAGGAAGCCTTAGAAATGCTACTTAGTGGTTCAATCTGCAAGGCTTGGCACGCTCTGGGTTCCATCAGTTAAACAATCTACCTATCAGGATCCTAGAAGTATATAGCAACACCTGTCCTCTAGAATGAGGTTGCTCCCAAATTTTGAAGAACTTCCACTTCCTAGGATATTTCACCCAGGTCTTTGAAGAGGACAATTGACGCCCCTTCTTTCTTTTTTCTTTTTTTTGAAAATTTTATTTGGGTTTTCACAAAAAAATACAAATAAAACATCTTTTTTTGAAAATAGCATGGTCCCGGGTTACACTTCTTTATACAGACACAAACTCAATGTCATGCTCACTTTTTATGTTCTATTCCATATCTTATTACTGTTTTACATTTTCTACATAGTTTTTCTCCTGTCTTAATTTTCTCAATTTTATTTTAATTATCTCATATCAATTCAAATGATTATATTTATACTTTTGTCCTGTTTCAATTTCATATTTTCTTTTCTCATTAAACAAATTTTCTCCTGTTGTTACTAATTGGAGTATGACACCTTTATATCTTAATTTTATCCATTCAACTCTTATTTAAGCTTCAATATATACCTTGAGGTTATAACATTCAATATAATACATAACTTCCAATCAAATTCTGCTTGGTACATTCTTAAAATATACACTATATTCTTAAAAAGTGATTATAAATATATGTAATTAAAACACTCATTCCATTCCAATTCAATTCTATCATTAATATTCATTAAAGTCTTAACCTCTTTAACATTACTTTTCAATTAAATATCATACTTCCTTGGGAACACTTATATGGTTTCCGTAATTAATTTTTTTCCCCCTATTTCTCTTCCCTTATATTTTATAAAACATTAAATAACTAAAATGTTCCTATCCTTTCCTAATTCAGTTCTCTCATTCATTTTATTTCATTTATTTATTAACAAACATTTCATTAGATTAAAGTAACTATTTTATCCATCATTTTAATCATACATTGTTTCATATTTTCTAAAATTATTTATATTTCTAATATAACAATACTATCTTGTGTACCTTTGTAGAATCCCTTTTTCAATTAAATTTTCACCCATTATCTCAAAATAGGCCCTGTTTCTCCATATCTTGTTTCTGTTCTTTATAACTTATTTTCCTTTCCTTCTTCCCTCTCTTCTCCCTCCCCTTTTTACTCCCTTGTCTCTCTAGTTCTAATTCTCTCTTCTGTATTCCTCTCTTCTGTTGCTTTCTAATATACTTATTTTTCAAGTTATTATTCCTTTTCTTTGTTGTTTTTTCAAATCTTAAACTTTTCATTCTCTTTCCCCCCTTTCCTCCCCCCCCCCACATAAAATTACTTGTTTATTAAAGATGGCTTCTTCTTTGTCCCAGTCTTCTTGTTCTGGGTGGGAACATCTTCTTGTTGTTTCTCATAGTTCGAGATCTCCATTTCTAAGAATTGGAATACGAAGCCAAAAGAACCTCTCCCTTCTTGTGCATCTTCTTTGTCCTTTTTAAGTTCCATTTTCAATTCATCTAAAAGTAGTGCCATTTTAAAACACTTTTAAACAACCACCCGATTGATTTTAGTCATTCAAATGCAATAATCCAGAGATCACCAAGTAATCCAAATACTCCCAAGATTTCTTCAAGCTTCTTTTTTCCACTTTCTTTTCCTGGGGTTCTATATTTTGTAGCCAAGTTTCAGTTAAAATGTATCTTTTAGAAGTCTTGTTGTAGTTTTACTGTAAAATCCTTTTAATTCCAGGCAGTCTCCTCCCTTTTTTCCAGATCCTGCCCTTTTATTCTTTTTCTCTCCTTTCCTGCTTTTAAAAGGTTTTAAGTATCCAGAAATCTTTATTATCCCTTTGACATTTTATTTTCAGCTTAAATACCTATTGATGTCAAAGTGGATTTTTTTTCCAATTTCTTATTTAGATCTCTTAGCTGTCAGTATAGGGAAAGGGAGAGAAGAAAAAAACCCAAATCCTTTCCCTTTTCTCTTTCCTTCACTGCTTCAGAATCTTCTTTGGGGACAATGTTACTTTTTTTTTAGTTTAAATTCCACGGTACCTTAGTTGTTGCTTTTCTAGTTCAACCCGGTCAAAAAAACTTTCTCTTCTTATCTTCCTCCTGCACATTCTTTTCCGGTCGAGTTCTTCTTTGTGGTGGCCATTTCTGACCACCGCTGCAACCGCCTTCGGGAAAGGGAGTAATGGCCAGCTGAGGAGGAGAGATGCGGCTCTCCTCAACCCTGCTGGCAGTCTCCCCCTCTTCACCACCTCTACGGAGTGGCTTAGCCCCGAAACCAGCTGGCTCAGGACACTCCAGCGGTGAGCATGGATCGAAACTGCGGATGATCGTGGTTTCAGTCTGTCCGCGAAGAAACTCAAACCGGAAGCCAATTGACACCCCTTCTTTTGATGGAGGCCCCTTTCTTCCAATCTGTTCCCCTCTGCCACTATTGTCCCTTTGTCTTATGCTATTTTTGTATCTTATCTATTATACTCTATTTTTTTTAATGTTTTAAACATTATAAACCACCCAGACTCTAGGAGTTGAGTGGCATATAAATGTGATAATTCATCATCATCAAAAAACATTCTTAAATTTATCCAAAAGTGATTTGTTGACAATGTTTCCCCACCTCCAAAGGTATTGCATTGGGAAGGGTGGTTTAAAAAACATGCAAAGCTTCTAACCTCTACAAATATTTCCTGGTTTTTCAGTCAAAGGGTCAAAGTAAATGCATGTGTAAAGTAAGTAAAATAGAAATGTGGTCTTTTTATATCAAAAACAGAAGATGAGAACACAGTCTGCTTTTGATCTGCTCTGGCTTAACTGCCTTATTAAGATCCTAAATCTTAATGCTCTGTCCTAAAAATGGAAATGAATTGTTAATAAAAGATGATATATCTTTATTTTAGATGATGTATAACACTCTTTGGAATATATATACACGTAGCAGTTTTTTATAGGTAACCTTGAATAACTAACTTATTTCTGTTTAATTTGGTGGTGAAATTTGGCCACCATTGGCTTAGTTAGGTTTCTTTTATTGGATGCCAAAATTAGAGACATTAGATGGAGTAGAACTTTGAGTATTTTTAAGACAATGAGAAATCTAGTCCACTTATTAGAGGCATAATTGCTTAACATTGAGAATCTACTATTGCAAATACTTCCTAGTATGTTAGATTATATGCATATCTGGTCTCTTCTTGTATTTCTTAGACACAGATACAGTCATAATTTACTTATCAGCTGGAATAACATCAAGGGATTCATCCGAAGATAGTAAAAAGACTACTCTTCGTGTCATCAATGAAGAAAATAGTTTGCTTAACAACTCTGTAATGATCCTTACTTATGCTCTCATGAATGGTAAGATATGTTTGGAATATTAAGCATCTTTCAGTTGTATATTCGGTATTTTGAATTTCCAGAAAGCATTTTTTTTTTCATATATGTATTAAGTTGCATTATGACTAGTTTATAATTTCCACTGTTTGAGAGTTCTCAATATTGTTTCATAAAGTAGGTGCTTTAATTTTTCTCTCTGTTTATGTGCAATGTCTATTGTTGCAGAGGGTGTAACAGGCTTAAAAGAATTAGCCTTTCTTCGAGATCTAGCAGAACAAAACTCAGCAAAGTATGGAGTCCCAGATCGGACAGCTTTTCCTGTAACTAAGGGCAGTATGATGGTTCTGAACCAGCTGAGCAATTTGGAAACAACTGTTGGACGGTTTTATACAAATCTCCCAAACCATATGATTGATGAAGCAGTCTTCAGTTTACCCTTTTCTGATGAAATGGGAGATGGTAAGAGCTTCCTTTAAAAAAACAGTGAAAAAGCACATATAGTATCATGAGTTACAAGCATTCATAATGGTACTCCGATAAAACAAAATCATATAAGAGGCCTATTAGGGTATTGTGACATGTAAAAGGCATCTGTATTTTGTATTTGTGTCAAAAATGAAATTCTCTGTTTTGATCCATTTCCCCCCAAAACCTAGCTATCTAATTAGCTGATGCTGACATGTACCTAATTATATTGTAAATGATACCTTTGTTGAATATAAATTATGTCATGAAAGGCAGTTTTCACCAGGACAAGTTTATAGAGGACTACATATTTTCTTAGGATTAAAATTAAATTATTTGGGGCATCTTCTTAGATCAAAATAAGGAGGTTCTAATAACAGGACTTGAATGTTTAAAATTGGAACTGGATTTTGCTGCTGGATGATTTTACTCAAAATGTAGCCATGAAGTTAAGCCTAGTGCTGAGCTTGTATTCCTTTGGAATTCTTCATTGATGTTTTTTTTTTTAATATGGTGCTCAGAGCTTATCTAAACTTTTACTATTAGAGGTTATCAGTCACAACCCAAAAATAGTCACTTTGGTTCTTAATCTATTAGGCAGTTCAAATCAGATGAGTTCAGATCGGAAAGAAGTTCAACTCCCCAAATCGTATAATTTTTCTTGTGTTAAACATATATGAGGCTCAGATTGCTACAAGTTTCTGATTAATTGACAATGGGTGGGAACATCTTTTACAAACTTTTAACTGACATGTAAAACTATCCCTATTTTTTAAAAAAAGTTAAGCTTAACATTATTCTTAGTCACACTTTTATCACTTTTAGTACAGACTACTATCACTTCATATTTGATGACACCATGGGGATAGCTTAAAGTCAAACTACATGCTGCATTAAATTTGTAGTATGTAGCTGTGTAATCATGCATTATTCAAAAGTAAGTCAGAACTGCTCCAGATCCAGATCAAGAATATATAGCACACAAGATAAGAAAGTTAAAATAATTTCTGCTTCCATCATTGCCTCTTGACTTTTAACAGTTAATAGAATTTAGGAACATGCCCAGTCAATCATCAGCAATATTATGTGTTTTAATGTACTTCATAGTTTGGACTTTAGATAAATGTGGTCCCTTTTCTATGTGTCATTGTTAAATTTGATTTTAACAATGTCATTTTCATTTCTCTTGAAAATGACAAGAGAGGAAAGCCTATATCTTAGTTTTATCAAAGTTGTGCAATACTCGGTGTAATGATGGTGAGATTGCTTCAGCTTTATAATGCCTTGGTAAGACCCCACTTGGAATGTTGCATCCAGTTTTGGTTGCCAATGTAAAAAAGATAGAAAGAGATCTAGAACGAGTGTATAGAAAAGCAACAAAGAAGCTAAAACATATAAAGAACAGTTGGTGGAATTGGGTATGTCTAGCTTAATGAAAAGAAAGGCTATGGGTGATATTATAGCAGTGTTCCAATATGTCAGGTGCTGCCAAAAAGAAGAGGGAGTCAAGCTATTCTCCAAAGCACCTGAGGGCAGGACAGGAAGCAATGGATGGAAACTAATCAAGGAGAGAAGCAACTTAGAACTAAGGAGAAATTTCCTGACAGTTAGAACAATTAATAGGTGGAACAACTTGCCTCTAGAAGTTGTGAATAGCAACAGCACTTAGACTTATATACTGCTTCACAATGCTTTACAGCCCTCTTTAAGCGGTTTACAAAGTCAGCATATTGCCCCCAACAATCTAGGTCCTCATTTTACCAACCTCAGAAGGATGGAAGGCTGAATCAACCTTGACCCTGATGAGATTCGAACTGCCAAATTGCAGGCAGCTGGCAGACAGTAGAAGTAACCTGCAGTACTGCGTTCTAACCACTGTGCCATCATGGATTTGCTTCAACACTTGAAATTTTTAAGAAGATATTGGACAACAATTTGTCTGAAATGGGATAGGGTTTCCTGCCTGAGTAGCAGGTTGGACTACAAGACTTCCAAGGTCCCTTCCAACTCTGTTATTCTATTCTGTGCTATGCCATGCCATTCATCCCCATTCTAGTATAACTTAAAGAAAAGGTGTAAAGCATCTCTCTTCTGGAATGTTAAATGTTTCTGGAGCTATTGATGTTTTTGTATTGATTATTCATGTCTGAAGTTTTTATACTGTTTGAAAGCATCTTGAAACTTTGGAAATGCAGGATACATAAGTTTTAAATTGCAGGGCTTAACTTTCAAAGGCTGTATGCCTGTATTTTTCAAACTTTTTGCACTCATGGATCCCTGAGTAAGCCTTTAGAAATCTCCCTGTTAGACCTGGATGCCATTCAAAGTGCTGATTGTCATCATTAAGGCTCTTCATGTCTTGGGGCTTGGATACTTATGAGATTGGCTTCTCCAGATGGAAACTGACCACCCAGTGAGATCAGGAAGAGGGGGATTGCTGAGGATCCTTCCTTTCAAGGAATACCCAGAGGGCGAGCCATCTTGTTTGTCCTTTGGAACAGCTTACTTCCCGATATCCAGGTCTCCTCTGTTTTATTGGATTTACAAACAGCTGTAAAGTCTTAAGTCTTTTTGAAGATACTTCAGGATGTGGTAATTTAGTCTCTCCTCACAAGATGGCACTGTCATGGGTTGTGGGGTCTTACTTGTTGGGTTTGTTTGTTTTATTTGTAGTTTAAGGCTTGTGGCATTCTGCAAGCCACCTAGAGCTATGGAAATTTAGTGGCATTGAAACTTTGGTAAATAAAGAAGCAGACCTTTTCCCTATACTTTCAAATTTAAGAACGTGAGATTGTATGGTTTTCAATGAATAAGATCATTACAGTTGCATTCCATAATTTTACACTGACGTTTTAAGAAATGTTAAATCTTTAAAAAAAATTCCATTCGAGTTATTTTATGTACAGTATGTACCACATGAAAAAATAGACCTATATTCATGATAGCTTCTCACGCAAACTGGCTGGTGATCTCTAATATCCTGAGATTGAAATCCTTAAATAATAAATCTTTCATAGCAGTGGGAGTGGTCTTTTGAGGGAGTGTAAGTTGTATGACTTTGCCCTGGCCTGGAAGAACTGTGTGACATTAGTGGAACACAGTAACAGTCATACATGATATTCTTCCAACTAAAATTGGAATTCTGATTTTTCATCACCCCCATCCCCCACCCTTTCCCGCACCCTTCTCCTCCTCCTTCCCCTCCCCTCGGAGGCCCCCTGAGTCAAGAGCAGGGAAGCGGCTGCCCAGCTCCGGAGCTGATCCACACCACTGGCTGGAAAGGAAGGGTGTGTATGTGTTGGTGTTGTGTGTGCGATTTCTTGGCACGCGGTGCGGGGTCTCTTTTGGCCGGCCCCGAAAGAGCGCGTGCGGGCGGTGGAGACCCAGGAGCGAATGCGGGAAGGAAGCGAACCTCGTTGCAAAGTTTTGCCTCTCTCCCTTTCTTTTTCTTCTAATGGAGTATGTCTCTCCCCCGCCCCCCCGAGATAAGTATGACTTCGTTGTGAATGGTCAGAGCTATTCAGCTAAGGTGCAAGGATGACTGTATGTTGCCACTGGGGATGCGGAGGTGTGGAAAAAGCCAGATGGCTGCAGCTCCCTCCGGAGAGCGAAAGCAATGTTCATTTACAGGAAAATTCCCCTGTGGGAAGTCGCACGGAGGGAAAAAAAAGAGCTTGGAGTGACGACTAGAACCGGAGCTCCCTTGATTAACAATTCTGAATTTTTTTCCCTGTCTTTTTTTACTCCCTTCCCGCCGTTGATAATTAGGATCCGGTGTCTCCAGGGTCCTGTTGGTGTTGGGGGGGGTGATTAGATTTGGGGAGGAGGGCAAGGTCGGAAGGAAAAGGCATCCCTGGGTACTTTTCAGATTTTTTTTTCAGAGGGGAATATCATGTCTGAACAGTAAACATTGGGAATAAGAGACTGAAGTGGCAAAAGTCTTTGCTGTGGACATAGGGAGAAGGAGACAGAGCTAGCAAGCAGGCTGTAGTTGGGAAATACAGATAGTTGGGGCAGACAGCAGGGACCACAGAGGTGGGATTACTGCTGTATAAGTCACTTCTTGAAGTCACTTCTGGATGCATGAAACTTCATTCAAACCTGTTTGCTATTTGTTGAGTACAATCTGGTTTCTCTGCTATAAAGACCAAAGTACCATCAGAAATTGCAGCTTGCTTATAGATATTTTTCTGATGTGGCAACAGAACACATGAGTAAGAATATTCTGGAAAACTTTTTTATACCTTCTGGACCGTGGCAATAATATTCTTGACGGTCAAACTGTCAAGAACTTCCAAAATTTTTGCATGCTTTTATTCTAGAGTTCCATATCAGTTGCTAGATTGGATTTTACTTTGCCAAAAAGAATGTAATGAACCAGCTTGTTTTCCAAAAACTGGAAATGCGATGCAATGATTTTATTAAAGCTAAACAGGTTTAGATATGTTCAGGGAGTGCTTGGATTAGTCTGAGATCTTTCTGCATTCTGTCTTGATCTACCTGAGTTGAAGGGGAGGTGAAGAAATTTACATATAATTATTTATTATATTTTCCTTTCTTCTGATACCCTTATGTATAATACAGTATATTATTCAAAATTGTTGCTGTCATTTGGGAAGTATCAGTTTCCCTGTTGCTTTGGAGGGGAACAGGGGAATCTTATCTATCTATCTATCTATCTATCTATCTATCTATCTATCTATCTATCTATCTATCTCTATCTATCTATCTATCTATCTATCTATCTATCTATCTATCTTTGGTTATTCAAGTTTTCTCCCACGTAAAATTGGAAGTATCTAGGCGACGTTTCGATGAAGTCTCATTCATCATCTTCGGGCTTGTGTCTTCGGCTTTGTGCTTCTTGGAGTAATGTGAGCTTGCAGCTGCTTCTTCCCTTTAACTGCTAGTGGGGGTGTGACTTGATTGGGTGGAGGCTTGGCTGTGTTCTGATTGGGTGGGGGTGTGTTCTCATTGGTTGGGGTTTTGGCTGTGTTCTCATTGGTTGGGGGGTTGGCTGTGTTCTGATTGGCTGTGGGTGTGTTCTGTTCAGGTGGGGGCTTGGTTGTGCTCAGGTTAGTCTTAGTTGCTGGCCCCTACCCAATCAAGTCACACCCCCACTAGCAGATACACACACACACACACACACATAATAGGAATGTCCAGAGAACATGAACGTTCATTTGCAATGCAAATCCTTATGCAGTACCTCCCCCCCCCCAAAAAAAAAAAAAAAAAACACACACTAATTCTTGGCTGTTTTCAACTTCCACTGGAATTCATTGACCATGATTTTTCTCAACTTATTGTAAAATGAATTATGTCCATCTTTTAATTGTTTGAAAATACTTTTTAATCCTTTCATCCCTTTTTGCTTAGAGATGTAAACTTTTATTTTACTGCTGTTGATACTTGTAATTATGTGATTAAATCCGATTGCCCCATGACATGGCCTCATCTCTGCAGGCCCACCATCCCAATTGGCATGAAAATTACAATTGAATTGATAAGTAAGATGATTAAAGAAATTATTTTAGAAAAAAAAGTTAACAGTATTTAGGCAGTAAGCTTACATATATGTTTTTAAGGTCTACTTTTAATAGCCAAGTTCACATATTCAGTCCAACACATAATGACAGAATGTCAAAACAGAGCCTATAATGGAGAAATTATGCTTAGTTATACTTTTGTAATCACCCTGTTAAGATTTCAGATTTTATATTCTATGTTTCGTATTTTACTCATTTTCTTGGATGTGAATGTGCCATATAATAAATGCATAGCCAATCCTGTCAGTCCTTGAAGCAGCCAAAAAGTTTGCAAAGTTGGGTACCCCTCATTGCAGGTCCCGAACAAGCATGACAAATCTTGGTGGATTGTTAATAAATGTTAATGAAAAGCATTGGTGGATTTCCTCATCCGTTAAGGCTAAAAGCCTATATGTAGTTATTTTGAAAGTCCTGTTGAATCATGAGCTGGTTGTTCACAGATGCTCCAGATTTCCTAGTGCTAATTATTGATGTTTGCATGTTTTTAAACAGGTCTGATAATGACTGTCAGCAAGCCATGTTACTTTGGAAATCTGTTGTTAGGAATTGTTGGAGTGGATGTTAATCTAGCCTATATTTTGGAAGATGTTACCTATTACCAAGATTCTTTGGCTTCCTACACATTTCTGATTGATGATAAAGGTAATGTAGTAATTCCGTTCTTATTGTATGGGAAGATAATATAATTTCATTGTTGGAGTATCTATTTAATTTGATATTTACCATCCTTCCAATGTCACATCAATATAATGTGATAATGCAAAACCTTCTTCTTTTTCCCCTAGGGTATACGCTTATGCATCCCTCTCTTACCAGACCCTACTTGCTTTTGGAACCACCGCTTCACACAGATATAATACATTATGAGAATATTCCAAAATTTGAACTGGTTCGACAGAATATCCTCAGGTAAGATTTTGAATGGATGCTTTATATAAACTTAGTGTATGCTTGAAGGACAGTTTGGTGTAGTGGTGAAAGGATCAGACTAGAAACCAGAAGACTTTGAGTTACTTGTCCTGCTTTAGGCACAAGAACCAGCTTGGGCTAATAACTTCCTCTAAATCAGGAGTGTCAAACTCAAGACCTGTGGGCTGGATCTGGCCTGCGGAGTGCTTAAATCTGGCCCGTGGGGCCGGCTTGGAAATATCACAGGACCAGCCCATGGTGCCTCTGCTGGCCAAAACAGGCCATGGGGGGCGCCTCATGAGGCTCTCATGCTGCCCGTTTTCGTTCTCCATGGCCTCCTGCAGCACTCTGCCAGCTAAAAATGGGCTGCACAGAGGCCCCATTTTCAGCCTCCAGCAGCATTCTGCCAGCCAAAAACTAGCTGTGCGGAGGCCCCCCACGTGCACCCACCCACCCACCCCATTCTCACCAGTAAAGTGCTGGAGGAGGCATCCATGCTAATCCAGCCTTCAAAGAAATCCAGTTTGACACCCCTGCTCTAAATGCTAGACAGATTGGGATCCTTAATGCCTCATATGATAAACAAGTCATCATTTCTGTTGTTGCTGCTATATAGCTTCTTGCATGATTGGATTTAACTTCTGCTTCACAAACACAGAATAGAGCTGACATGGAAAAGATTGGTTATAAAAGCGAAGAGCAAGGGTGTCAAGATATTTCAACAGCATAGTCCGGAGCTATATTACGGAGTCTTGCAAATTTTGGTCTTCTGTTATTTTTGCAATGAGGCTCCTGCTCTTCCCTCCATCTCTGCTGAAAAAGACATCAGGACACCATCTGTCTCAGTTGTGTATTGCAGATTGTGGCTGCAAGTGTCTTTTCTGGCACTTGAAGCCTGGAGAAGGCAAGAACAATAAACTTCAATATTCGTTTGAGTGTAGTGAGGACACTATGCTCCTGCCTTGCATGTTAAGTAACACATGCAAGCAAGCATTGGGATTGGTGGAAGAGAAGGGGAGGATTCCGCTGCCTCCCTGCATCTAGCAGAGAGATGGTAGACTCTTGCAAAATGAAAAATGTCCTCTGCCAGCTCCAACTGCTGGCTCTAATTTTTGGGACCAACTTTCCTGATTCCTCCAGCTCCTTTAATGTGAAAGGAGCTCAGCTATGGAAATATACAGTATGAAGAAGTGAGGCTCTGCTTGATTCTTGAGTCTTCCTTTCCCTTGAAGGAATTAGTTATCTACCAGATACGGGGCAGTATTATCATTTTCCTATGTGTATAACTAGGCAGCCAACTGTTTACCATTTCTTCTCCAACCAATGCTTTGGTGGTTTCATTCCCTGTATATTGGCACTGAAATTTTTCATCTGCAACCAATTCATGTGATCAGAACCAGCATTTTGGCTCCGAGTATGAAGAGTAAATAGAATGTAGCAAAGCAGTCTTATTTCTATTTTAATTAAAAATAAATTCCATGCAGCCCTTCCCTGAGTGATCTCACTTTAAAGTAAAAAACCAGTACTGAGTTGGTTTCCCATTTTAAGTAGTTGATGGATGTTATTTGTTGTCAACTTAGCCTCCCCCTCGGCAGTCAACTTATTACAGTCCCCGTGAATTCGTCACTGTCTTGGCATGTCAACAAATTGCGTGAAATTGGGAAAGATGCCTACAATGTGAGTTATGCCTGGAAAATGGTAAGTGACACTTGAAGATATGATAATATATTGAAGCTGAAGGCATTTTTTAATTGCAGCAAAACAGACATTCTTTTTCTTAGATTTCCAAGCAATAAGAGTCTTATTACATGCCTCCGGGCCAGTCAGAATCAAGATTTCAGTCTAGTGTTTGCTGTGGCTGAGAGTTGTATCTTAGTAAATATTGAGAACTATGCCCCATAAATATTTTTAAAAAATTAATCTTAATGCCTGTTTATGACTGCTGTGTCACTCAGTCTTCAGAAGTTAATAGGATGCATTTCTGTGAAGAAAGGTTGCTGCAAGGATTGATCATCTTAATTTTGAATATTTAAATTGATTCTCAGATAAAAGAATGTTCACCCTATTTTGGTCATGATTTGATAGTCAACATATATGGAAATCCTTTATAAATTTAATAGGATGGATTAATTTGGAGAATTGATCCAGAATGTTACATAACTTACACTGTTATAAATAGGAAAATCACAACTCTCAAAGAGTCCAAGTGAAAAGGGCTGTTTAAAGAAAGTGCCGTTCTTTGAAAATGTAGACCAGAAAAGTTTACTTACTGTATATTAAAACATTTATAAACCTTTCAGTTTTGCTTCTTAATTTGAAATAGAATGCGCTCCTTATTAAATCACGCTTGCTTATATTTTAGGTTCAGGACACATCTTTCATTTTGTGTATAGTTGTAATACAACCAGAAATACCTGTTAGACAACTTAAAAACCTCAACACTGTACCCAGTAGTAAACTGCTTTATCATCGTCTGGATCTCTTAGGCCAGCCCAATGCTTGTCTGCATTTCAAACAACTGGCAACCTTAGGTAAGTATTTCTTTTCCTAAAATCTGTCCCACCCTTTCTTATGAAAGTTCAACTAGCTTTGATAAGTTATCAGAACCCTTGCTTATCCATTTTTGACATTCTTTCAGGTAGGATTTCAATTGTTTCAGGATAAGATTATTCTGGGATCCAACTATCTTTTAGGTTACCTTTCAGATAGTTTTTAAAAGTATGAACTATATTGCAATGTTCATAAAGAGGCTTAAAGAAATGAAATATAGCAGCATCATAATGCTAGACTTTCCTGAATTGAGGTCATGCTACCTATATTCAATACTACCATTGATCTTAACCCCAAAACTGTCATTTTGACCTCTCTTCTAACTGTAGAGACTAATTGTTCCTTGTGTCTCTTTGGTACTTGTGCAATATAATAAGCATTTTTTGCCTTTTAATCAAAGCTTGGGCACTAATCCTGGGATCCCCCCCTCCCCCCATCTTAGACACTAATCCTGTAGACCTCTAAAGGCTAACTATTAAAACATAATAAATAAAGTATCTATCCAAGTTTCCTAGTTAATAGAAGGGATAGGAAACCATCAATGCTATGAGCTTGTGTTCCATAGCTCTGAAGAAATTTCCACCTAATACTTAGCTAGCAACCACCTTCATAATTTTATTCAGACAAATGCAGAAACTGTATCGCTGAGCTTCCTAGCTGGCTCAAAGATTACAGAGCTTAGGAGCCAGAGAATTAGGTTCTGGGAGATGTCAAGTTGAAAGCCTATGGAAAAGTGAATTTCCCCCCCATCATCAAGAAATGAAAATAAACAGATAAGACTTTAGTCATGCACATTTTACCTTGATACATCGTTTTCTTCTAATCCCACTATTTGACTTATAGACTTCATGCCTTTGTTTTCAGGAGGATTGCCTTACTCTGGCATATAATTAAATATTCTTAAAGGATAATTGAGTAACAGGGAGGATCATATTCTTTTGTATGTAGAAGACCTTAGGTTCAGTCCTTGGCGTCTTCAGAGAGGATTAGAAAAAACTTGAAACATTACTGGCTTGCAGCCAGTATCAACAACACTAAGCCAGAAGGTCAAAGAGTCTAATACAATATCAAGTTTGTCTTCCTTTCAGTCACTCTATTTTAGTGAATTCTAGCAACTGCTGGCCAAATGGACCTGGTTGCAAACTAGATAAATGTATAAGTGAAATAAAATGTCTTGGGATTGTCTATTTCTTTGCTTTAAATTTTTTTTGAAATAAATATATCTTGGAAATAGACAGCTGCATAACTTACCTTCCAGAAAACAGAATGTATCAAGTATGAGTAGTGTTGTTACACTATTTCAAAGCTGAGCTTGATTCTCCTGGCTGTCAAATAAATCATTAGCAATAACATGAAAACATTGAAGTTCATGCCAGTCATGGTGTATCCTAGTAATTTTGGAATTATGCAGATTTTATTCCTAGCTATAAATATTTAATGCTGTCAATCTTTGTAAAAAGAAGCTAGAACTCTGGAGAGAATAGACTTTGAAATATTTTTAATTGGCAAGTTCAGAGATATTAAAAACTATTTAAAACTTTTGAATTCAGTGAAGCATTGTCTTTTTTTTTTAAAAAAAAAAATCAGAATACATTTATACAGTGAAACCAGGCACATTCACTTTAGAAGTTGGCTCCCGGTCATGCTGTAACAGGAAATTTAAAGTTAGAGAAATAATGTTGTTTTTGAAAGAAAAGATTTTTTCATCATATAGTTCCTATTATCCCCTTAAATGTGCATTGTTTGAAAACTATTTACAAAAAAAAATGGGTTATTGTACAGTAATTATTATTGCTATCCATTTAAAGAGCTGAGGAAAATTAGTAAACAATATGAAGTTGAGGAAAAAAGATTTTCAGCTTATTTTTCCCATGCAACATGTTGTATTAAATACAGATAGTCCTCGACTTATGACCACAATTTCTGTTGCTAAGCAAGACAGTTGTTAAGTGAGTTTTGCCCCATTTTACTATTTTTCTTGACCTGGTTGTTAAGTGAGTCACTGAAGTTGATAAGTTAGTAACCCGATTGTTAAGTGAATCTGGCTTCCCCATTGACTTGGCTTGTCAGAAGGTCGCAAAAAGGAAAGGTGATAAATATGAACCAGTGGCCAAGCATCTGAATCTTGATCACATGATCATGGGGATGCTGCACAGTTAATAACTTTGAAAAATGGTCCAAAGTCACATTTTCACTGCTGTTGGAACAGACACTAAATGAACTGTAAATCAAGTTCTACCTGTACAGTGTGTACACCAATACTCTTCTCCTACCAGATGCTGACTGAGAATTATGAGAGCAGAATCTGGATATCACTAGATTGATGAAAGTTGATGCATACACTTAAAAAAATCCTAGTGCCTCTGGACCAGGGCTGTCAAACTCTCAGCCCATGGGCCAGATGCGTCACGTGCTGGCCACGCCCACAGCCAGTTTAGCAAAGGAAAAAAGTCCCAATACATCACATGTCATCGCCATGAAAACGTGAGTTTGACACCCCTGCTCAAGGCTACTGTTTCTGTTGTTCTTAGCTGATCAGCACTGACTTTTGTCTGCATTAGTGGGCAATTAAGAGACTTGCTGGCATTTTCAATATACCAGAAGTAACATTCTACGTTGTAGATCCAGGCTTATTCATGACCATCAAGTTTGCTTTTGACAGCTGTTTTTCCACGACTTGATACTTTATCGTCATTTACTATTAGGTGGTCTGATTGTAGAAGGGACCTGTATTCAGCAAGTGATAGCATCTGATTGAATGTTTCTTTGAACACACTTTCATTGTGTGCTAATCATGGTGAATAATTATTTGAGTAGAATACTCCTTGGAGATCAAAATTAATATTCCAGAAGTCGTCAAAGGCAAATCACTTTCACAGTTCCAACCAAGAAAATTGAATGGGCATGCTCACTAGGTCAGCAGGAGTTGAAACTGAATTGAAGAGACTTCACAATATTACAGCCTAGATAGCTGTCTACCGTTTTTACTCAAACTACTCCATTTTCCTATAATATCCTGAAGTATGATAGGTGTTTCTTCTGTTTCAGTCTTGCTATTGTATAAAAATGGTAGGGAATTAAGAGAATGCTGCCAAGTAGTACAGTTTCATTACAACAGTGCACCCTGGTGGTGACAAACACAATAGTACTTTATTTGTGAGGGGGCTTTTTTCCCTTAAATTACACATGATCATACACTACAGTTCAGTTTTGCGGGGGGTGGGGTGGGGATGTCCAGTTAGGATTTTCTAGAGCTGGATATTATGGGACATTTTGTGACTTAAACCATTTATCAATGCTGTCTTTCCAGAAAGCCCTACAGTGATGTTGTCTGCAGGTGGTTTTTCATCTCCATATGAACATCTAAGCCAGCCCGAGACCAAGAGGATGGTGGAACACTATACAGCATATCTGAGTGATAACACCCGCCTCATTGCCAACCCTGGGCTGAAAGTATGATTTTTGTGCCCATTTTACCTTCCATACTTTTTATAATGCTTATGTCCTTCGGGATGTTGTTTTCATTTGTTGAAACTCTTTGATTGCAGATTTGAAAGGAGCAGCTGGGTTTTGAAGACCTGTGATGAATATTTTGCTAGGTTTTTGAATTTTTATTTGATTAAATAGCTGGTTTTTATGGTTTTTTGGATTGTATCATTTTTTAAAGTCTTTGTTCTGTGTTTTTTTTTAATTACTTTTTTACCTCAGGTGAACTTTGTTCTTGACAACATGAAAAATGTAGCACATTTAAAGTTAAAATATTTTTTGCTTGAAGTAGAAAGAATAATATTCACTAAGACCATTTTTAAAAAGAATCTAAGTCAGCTGTATTCCAAAATGGATTTCCAAAGTAATAATTTAAGAACATACTCCCAAATTGTTTACCTAAGTAAAACAGGCAGCAGTTTTTGATAGCAGAAAAAAAAAGTTTTGTTAGATAGCAGTGTGAACAATATGAAAATCAGGTCAATGTTACAAACACGGAAAAAACCAAATGCTCTTCATTTTGAAAGTGTAGAAAATTAAAAGTACAACAAGGATTTAGATTCAAAGTAAAACATTAAATATTGTGAATGCTGCCAACAGTATTTTAAGAAATTGCTAGATCCATCTGGTGAGGGAAGAATTTAAAGTAGTAATTGGGTTTAGATTATCTCCAGTGAATCTGTAAGAAACTGCAAGCAGCTTATTATCTTTTCAGTCAAGTTTTAAAGGAACCCTGCTAGCTCTGTCTTTGTTTTGCAGTTCTCTGTCAGAAATGAAGTAATGGCTACCAGTCATGTCACAGATGAATGGATGACACAAATGGAAATGAGTAGCTTGAACAGTTACATTGTCCGCCGTTACATAGCAACGCCCAATGGGGTGCTCAGAATTTATCCTGGTTCCCTCATGGACAAAGCATTTGATCCCACTAGGAGACAATGGTGAGTTTTAGGATCCCATTATGAATGGTTTAAGAAAACCATTCAGGCTAATAATATTGAATGAGAATGAATATTACGTGATGGATTTATAGGGGGGAAAAAAATCCCTGGTGGATGAAATATCTTCAAGTGTAATAATATAGTTTCTGTTAATGTATTAAATTTTGGTCAGTTGTTTGTGTTTTAGCAGGCAAATTCTTTTTCTTTGCCCTTCTGTGGATCAGCAAATAAACAGGGATACTAAAATCTGCTATTTACAAAATGCATTAGCACTTATTTTCTGGGGTTCTCTTTATGATTTTCAGATCCTCATGGCATTGTTGCTTCTCACATTATGAGGAGCTGTTCTCCTGTAGTGTAGATTTCCAAAGCTGTAATCCCATTTTAAGTTGTCTATTAATTATGCACAAGCTTGGCTCAAGAAAATGTTTTGTATACACTGTAAATGAGATAATAACCATGAGGAAACTCTTAAATGTATCCCACTCTGAGAACTAAGCCATTTTGCTAATCACAGCAGAAGCCAATGAATTTAACCGAATGCAGAATGCCTGTCCCTAGCTTCTCATGCTGTCAGTTCTTTCTGCCAATCTTGTCAATCTAACTCTTCCTTGTTTTTAATCCTCTGGAGTAGCAAAGTATAGGAGAATTTTTTTGGGGGGGGGGAAACCAACCATTTCTTTACCACTCTTTTCCTTAGAGTTCAGATATTTCTACATATTTAATTATAAGAAGCTAGCTACAAACGCTGTGTTTAAATTAGAAAAATCCAAAAGAATAGGAGTAGACTTGCTAGTATTGCCTCAACAGTAGCAAGAAATTGATATCTTTGATACTTCCAGAGATGATTCTTGACACAGGAAAAATGAAATTCATATTTTCCATGCAACTGTTTGTTAGGATGTTCAGTTCTCTGAAATGGGCTTCACTAACTTATGTCTAATCCTATTTTTTAAAAAACATGAAATATGGGATACAGATTTGATAGATGTCTTCAACTGATTTTAAACATTGCCTGTGTTTCTATGGTTTTGCATATTACAAAGTTTTTTTGTCATGTGACATTATTCTGTTTTATCAAAAGTGATGATTTTGTTTTCTGAAAGGTACCTCCATGCAGTGGCCAATCCAGGATTAATTACTTTCACCGGGCCATATTTAGATGTTGGAGGAGCGGGCTATGTGGTTACCATCAGTCATACTGTCCATTCCTCAAGGTAATGTTTGTATTTAGCAAATAAATTAGCCCGCTAATTAATGGAAAGATAAACAAGATCAGCATTTCATCTTTGGTAGGGCAGCAGAAAGATTGGGAGTGTTAAATTTATGAAATAAATAGTCTCTTTCAAATTACCCATTGACCAGAAGGCAAAGTAGTGATATTAGTCCAATTGCCTCCTCTCTCATGCTGATCTTAAATAATATTCTTTATCATCAGAGCTGATCTGTGGCATTTTTCTCCTGGCCATACACTGCCAAAGAAAGCTTAAAAAATTTTTTTTTTTAAGAATGCCTCTAGATTCCTTGGAACTGTAGTGCTTACACTTCTGGAGTGGACTGAGTACTAGAGGGATGGCATATAATATCTTCAGAAAATACAGCATGCAGTTGTAGCCCTCCAAATCTTTCAGACTGAATCTGTAGTCTCTGATCTTTGAGTGTGATAGCTGAGAGCTACAGGGTTTGCAGTCCTAAAATTTCTAGATGCTAGGTTGGCTGGTTGGACCTGTTTCTGTGTGCCACCTCGAACTTCTTTTGGATAAGTAAGTTTACTAGCATGTTTAACTCTACAGTTGGCTCTTGTGGAAGGAATGGAACTTTGTTTATAGCTGATGTGATTGCTGGTGAAGTGGAATTTGGAATGCTTAAGCAAATTTCAGGTTAGAGGGAAGAAGCTTTTGTCTGCACGTGAGTAAAAAACAGTTTGAATCTGGGTTTTGCATGCAAAAGGCAGGAAGTCTCCTGCAATTCCATGCCAAAATAAGGTCCTTGAACCAGAGGGCTTCAAAGAGAGGGCTGCTTTTGCCCTTAATGATTTCTTGTGAAACTGTGATCTATCTGCAAATATATTAGAAAATTTCAGCATTGTACATATAGATCCCTTCACCAGAATTCTTTTGGTACTATAATAGCAGCAGAAGACTGAAGGTGGATTCTTTTTTTCCTTCTGCACATTGTTGTAAATACATGCAACTACAGGATTTCGAAGACAGTCTTTTATGGCCTTTTCATGTGTCAGTTGCTAAGGCAACAATATGCAATCTTGAGCTATGGAGTAAAATATGGGTATCAGCAGACCTCCACGTCTGAGCAAGATATTATCATTTATTCACAGCTGCTGTTCCTACTTCTGCATCTGTTAAGCTTCAGTATACAGAACACATACCCAGTATCTTTTATAAGGTCCTAGGCCTCCAGGTTCAATTGGTTTGTGTATGGCTAAGGCTTGTTTAGATTGCTATGATGTGCCGAGTTTAGTAGCTGGGTGGTAGGGAGTCTTACTCATGATAATACAAGAATGTTAAGTGGGTGTAATCACATCCAAGGGGGTGGCAAGATATAAGGGTATGTGGGAATGACCTTGGGAGTTGAGAAAGAGCTGAAGCCAGGGGATAAACAGTGGCTTAGGCTGCAGCAGGAATGTGGGCATGACATCTCAAGGTATCCTTTGTTTCTTGCGCTGTAACAGCTATAGCGCAGAAATGCATTTTCAGATTTACAAGATTCTGCTAATGTAATGTTACAATAAAGTTAGTTCATCTGGGCATGTTTCTTGTCTGGATTAGCTTGCAAAGCCCAAAGTTGAAAAAGCCTGGTTTGTTGGAGCCTGGAGTATAAACTAGATGAATCCTACAAAGCCTTCCACACACTGCATTTATGTAATCACCACGCATATTGTACTACTGAGTAATCTGTGATATCTTTCTGGGGCATCTCCTGATGATGATACTACCAGTGCTGGAAATTGAGCCAGTTTGGAGGTGGGTCTCAGAGAAAAGGTCTCACCATTCCTGCCATCATGTAAATTCCATAGCTCGTCTGGGCAACTTTATAGGAGGCCACATCTTCTGATTAATTTCTATTCAATTTCACTGCATGAAAAAAAAAACAACCCATAGTTTGAATTCCTAGCACTGTCATAGATTTTACTTGAAATTTATATGCAGGAAGAATGACATTTAGTGAGCAAGCAGCTTGTTCTGTGTAACAGCCACTCAGATTTCTTGCCAAGCAGTCAGACAAATGCATACTAAATGAGTTGAAAATGGAGGATAGCAATTTAATTTTTATCCTTTCTGTTAGGGAATGCTTGTTACTTAGGGACCGCCATAGCTCAGGGGATGGGAAATTGATTGATGATGGTTTTTGTGTTATCCTTTTAGTTGCTGAAGAGAACATGGTTTGGCTCAAAGCATCCGGTGCCATCCTGAAATTGGTGGGAATGAAGATAATCATATGGCTTGCTTCAAAATGCTTAGAAGGGATTGGGGAATGAAAACGGTGCCATGTAAAAATGGCCTTAGGAAAGTGTTTCTTCCACTGCAGGGAATTTATTTATTTATCCAGCATATTTCTATGCCTCCGTAATTAAGCAATTTGGTGGCTTACACAGGAAAAAATACAGTGTAAAACCTTCCTCATTAAAAACAAAATAAAATGCAGAGAATACAACAAAAAGGAGAACATTACAGAGAACAAAATAGGAGACTTAAAGTAAAAGCATGTGTACTTCTTAAAGTCTTTGGTTATTGTGCTACCATTCTCTGCCTGGGCTCCAGTTTGATATAATATGCTATAGACTTAGGGAGTGAAAGGGAAGGAAGAGAGGCTGAGAATGCACAACCAAGTAAAATTGTGTATAGTATATATGCCATTCAAACTGAGAAACAGGCTGAATGGGAATTGGTGGTTGCTATCAATGGTTGATGAGAAACACAGACAGACACGTGCATGCGCGCGCACACGCACACACACATATTAAAGGAGCAGAGCCCTGTTAGTCTATGGTAACAAAAAATCAGGAGTCAGATTAACATTTTATCAAAACGTCCTAAGCTGTCACGAGCAACAGCTCACTTCATTAGTGCATCACAAAAGATTATTATGCCTTTGATAAATGTAGTAGTCTGAAAAGGGTACCTTCTGATCTCTAATGTGTGTGTGTGTGTGTGTGTTTGTGTGTGTGTGTGTGGTCGACTGAACCTTATTTATATGATATTTCATTTATGTCTTAAAGGTAAGACCGTAAAGGTTTTTGCTTGGATAGCTACTTCCCACTGATTTAGAAAAGCTTCTGTCCATATTGCAGTTTTATTCCCTTTAAGTTTCAATTACAACTTGTTTTTCCCCCTCAGATAGCTTAGAAGAAAAGCTGGGGTACATAATATTGTACCAGATTTGTGTTAACAGCATTTTGGGGTAACATATTAAAAATTAGATCTTTTTGCCAGAAAAGGAGCATTCTTTTCCATTCTCAACGTATCCTTAATCTCTAATGCAAAGAGAAAAAAAAATAGTTTGACAAGGCAGTACTGATACAATTATCTTTTCAGAAAAGAGACTTTTCTCTACCAGCCGAATTTTATTCCCTAAAGAAACATTTGAATATAAGCTGATTTCAGGTCCAAACCCAAAATTCCTAACCAATTTGATGGGCGATTAGGTGTCCATATTCATTTCTAAACCAGAGCTTTTGACCTTTCAGCTACTTGGAATTTTTAGTATCTTTGCAGGGAATTCATATTCCCTTTCTCATGAGGGGAGAAAGTGAAAAGCTGTGAAGAATTTTAATAGGCAAAAGGTCTGAAGGCCATGCAGTTCCCCACAAGCTGAAAATAATCTGATTCTTTAAACAGCATCTATCCGCATAAGATGTCTATATTTCTGTAGCTGCTGGAATGCTGTAAGGGACCTGGAGGCTGTCCTGAGCCCAGGGATTGTATCTATTGCTTTGTTTTTTTGTTTACATTTCAGCTGTCGTCTTTTTCTTTTTTTGAAGTTTATCTGCCATCGCTCTGTTTTAATGAAGACTAGTTCCAATTTCAGGAAAGCGAAAGTCAGTTGCCCTTACAACTTCGACAAAGCAGTTGTATTGTATTTTTATATGGTTTAGAAAAAGATCAGGTTTCGCATTAAAAATGCTATAAACAGAACTCTGTTTTGCTTCTTGTGTGTATAATTATTTATACAAGAGAAAAATGGGCGCTGAAAACAAGGTTTTCTGAGATGAGAGGTCTGTGCGTTGCCAGAGAATACTAGATAAATTGTAGTACAGGGTTTTGGGTTTTTTTAAGTGCTACAAAATGCTTTTTCTGTCGGATTTTAATAATCCAGTAAATACAAATGTTGGGTTTGTCTTTATCCTCTTTTAGTGGGGCTTTTCATTAAATTAAATGCGTTCTTCACTTAGCTGTAGTGGAAACATTCTGGAAAATGCTTGCTTGTACAGTTTCCTGAGAATCCCTAAAATTATATCTCCACTTTCCTTGTTTTGTCTTATCCTGTTTTTCTTTCTTCTTTCTTTTTATTCACATTAGGTAATGTGTGAATTGAGGATTTCCTGCTAATAATTTGGCCAGGAATTTGATTTAAATTAAGAATTGTAGTGCTCAACTGTGTGATGCCCATTAAAAACATTAAAATAGTACTCTGTTCAACACGCTGATGTATTATTAAATGTATGAGACCGAAGAGATGAGATGTATAAAATTCTAATTTGCATTAGGACAAGCCTCACTAATCATAAAATGATTTCCTTGATTCACTTGAGAAAGATTTGGCCAGCTGAAACTTTAATTCAGTTTTAAAGAAAATTAGTGACATATCTCATGACTTCTCATGTGGGTAATATTTTATGATATGGAAGGAAAGAAATAAAGGTGAAGAAACTCTGCCAAATACTATTTCATCTCAGTTGATTAATTTACTATTTTCCATCTTGACCCATCAGTTGAATTTTAGTTGGGGAAAAATGCATTCATACATCCCACTAAGCTATTCGTTTGATTTTGGCTTAGCATAATGTGGTTGGTAAACTACCGCAATATGTTAAACTTACAGTCTAGCAGGTTGGTTAATTGAAAATACATTTAAACAGATTGGTAGCTTAGATTGTCATGTGAAATTAGCCACTGCATACCAGCATCTTGTGACTGCAGCCAAATTGATGAATTTTCAGCTTCAAACATTGGCGTCATCCTGGAGGTCTTTTAAGGATTACTTAAAAGCTTTCTGTTTTCTTACTACTGATATAAGCATGCTGTCGATTGTAGGACTGTGTATGGTTTCAGATTTAATTTGGAAGAGGTGTTTCAGAATACAATACATAGGAGAGCAACTACAGTATCAGAATAGATCTCTTTAAAACATCTGCATCCTTTTCTGGGATCATGCAATTGCAAAGGATGCCTCCCTGCAGCCGCCACATCATTCTGGGAGGAAAACCCCCCACAGAGACTTTAAAGAAAAATCCAGAATCTGATTGTTCCTGTGCAATATATTCTGAAGCATCTCTTCTACAGGTAACCCATAGCACTGCAGGGCAAAAGTGTCATCTGTTGTATACGTCTCTATTATTATTATTATTTTACTATATTGCTTTTTGCAATTGCTTTTTCTTCTTGTTCTTGGTTTTTCTCTGGTTTTATTTTATTGTTTTGGCTTTGTCTTGATTGTCACCTTGAATGATATACAGAAGCATGAATGCAAACACACGCACACGTGCGTAGATAATATGGACCCTGTATGGAAGCTGTTTCTGTTTAAGTTTTCTGTTTTCTTTTGTTCTCTGAAGGAGAATCTGCTGAGATGAATTAAGTTACAAATGCTTGCGCCGATTGTTTATGGAAGTCCAAGGTTATAATTTGATCAGGGGGAGAATCTTTTTCTCCCTTAAATTCATGATTCTAAGCAATATTTTGGCTATTTTCTTAATTCTATGTCTCTCAAGAGATCCTCTTGTGCTTCTTCTGGTTGCAGCTCACAGATGTCTTCTGGCCATTCTGTTGCGGTGATGGGCATTGATTTTACTCTGCGGTATTTGTACAAAGTACTAATGGACCTGTTACCAGTTTGCAATCAAGATGGAGGCAATAAAATAAGGTAAAATTGTAGATGTTAGAAAAATTATAATAGTAAAAATCCTAATTCTGAAAGAAAGTCCTTTAATCTGGGGCAAGAAGAGAGTAGCTCGCAGTTCAATTTAGAAACCAGCTAATTCAGAGTAATGTTTGCTTTTCCAACCAAGAGGTTATTTGATTTATGGAATATTTAAGGGTATATTTGATAAGCATATAAAATTGGAAGATAAAAATGAATATTGCATGAGGATGAAAACATGGGGAAACACTTTAAGTACTGGTAGACCTTGATTTACAAGAGTTCATTTAATGACCATTCGAAGTAGCAACAGCACTGAAAAAGTGACTTATGACCATTTGTCACACTTACGACCGTTGCAGCATCCCCATGGTCACATGATTTATGTTCAAATGTTTGACAGCTGACTCATTTAATGACAGTTGCAGTGTCCCAGAGTCATGTGACCAGCTTTTGAGACCTTCCAACAAGTAAAATCAGTGGGGAAACCAGATTCACTTAACAATTGTGTTACTAATTTAACAACTGTAGTGATTCACTTAACAAAAATGTGCCAAGAAAAGTCATAAAATGGAACAAACTCACTTAACAAATTTCTCACTTAGCAACATACATTTTGTGATCATAAGTTGAGGGCTATCTGTACTGAAGAATGACATGCATCAATGGGCAGAAACAGAAGTTGAGATGATCTGTATTCAGATCTGAAGAAGTGCTTGGTTTCCAGTTTGACCAAGAGCTGATGCAGATTTCTTCCTGCATCAGTGCATTAAATGATCAGCATTAACCCCTGCCAGTGGTCCCTCTGTTCCAGCCTATTGTCCATAGGTATATTATTTCCCTTCTTCTGCCACACTATTATCTGATTCTTAAACTTCAGAATGAGCTAGAGGAAAAGGAAGTACATTGAGCAATGAGAAGAAATAGTGGCTGAAGACAAGAGAAATAGTAAAAAAGGAATAGAGAATGCAAGTATCTAGCAAGGAAAGCTAGAATGAAAGACCACGTTGTATGGTATATAGCTCCAGAAGCACCCTATATTGTAGGAAGGGGCAACCCACCGGTTATTTGCCATCTTTCCAAGCATAGCGCTTCGAGATTGTGCTCTTGATCATGGACTTTTGTTTTTTGCAAAATAAGATTAGAGATTGGAACAGATTGGGAGGCAAACTGAACTGTTCCTCTTTCTCCTTTAACCCCCACTAAGTCCTGTAAAACAACTCAGTATTTTCCTAATAAAATTAAGCTTACACAGTGCAGCTCTACTCAAAAATATTAACCATTTCTTTCTGTGGTAAGTGTGTAAGCTTGCAAGTTTATTGATGAAATTATGGAACATAAAAGAGATACAAAGATCTTTTTCTGTATCTTTTCCACAATTGCATGACTTTATGATTGCCAGGTGATTGATTAAAAAGAAAGAAGACTCTGCCCTTGTCTTCCATCTTTAGTGAAAGATAATGAAAAAATTACACATTTTAGAATAACTCATCTAATGGCTGGCATTGTTGGATAACATAGAATATTTCAATATGGTTTTAGATGTAGCTATGGGACCAAAACTGTTTGGATCAATTTATTGATACAATATTCACTAATGATTGGACAAAAAAATGGGTTGATTTGACTATGTATCTCTCATCTACTTTTGCCACCACTGAATCTAATATCTTCCTAGGCTACTTGGGATAAATGAAACTTGGTTGATATGACTTTATGGTATCTTTAGTTCTATTTGGAGGATTAATCTTAGGAACTCATACTGGAAAATTCTTTTACTGCTTGGCACCAAATTCTGTAATTTACATGCATTTGCTTTAGGGATTATTTTGTTTCAACCTTAGTGAAAAGCAACTCCATTCTGAACCTGCTCTTGGAATAAAATTTGAAATACTTTAAAAGTGTTGTATATTCCAGTGGAACAAGACCCCAACATATTTTGATTGTTACACTACAGGGAAGTATTAAAATACGAAATAACACTGAATCCAGCAAAAATTAAGTTTAATATAGCCAGTGAACAATAACAATCCCCTCACTCAAATAATGTTTCTATATAACTGTAGAACTGGAAGAACTTTATTCCAAATGCATGTAAGTGTAGAGTCTACTTTTTCCATATTGAAACTGGCCTTGGCTCCAACAGCTGTCAAAAAAGGGAAAGCCAACTATAGTTTGGCAGCACACTGCATTTTAAAAACTGTCTTTAAAAAAAGACATTAGAAATCAATTTTAGGGTTCATATGTAACACACAAAGTTCTACTGCTGAAGTATTTTGTTTCAGTTAAGAACAAAATATTTTTTTCTAAATTAGGAACAGTTGAAAAAGAGTCTCTAAGCTTCAGAAGTTTAGAACTTGCAAGCTTTCATGTATTCCTGCCATCCCTAATTACTTTCTTTGGTTATGTTTTTATATTTTGTTGTTTCTGTGTTGTTCTATTGTGGTGAGTCTTAAAAGAATTGATTGGAGTTGGGTGGCATCTAAATGGAATGGCTAGATAAACTAACACACACGTGTCTTTTTGGCATTGGCAAACTATACACCCAGCTACCTAAAAATTCATGCATTCTGATCTATGATTTCATTTACTGTTTGTTTTTTAATAGGTGCTTTATTATGGAAGATAGAGGATATCTTGTGGCACATCCAACTCTTATTGATCCTAAAGGTCATGCTCCAGTAGAACAGCAACATATTACACATAAGGTTTGCCTGCATCATGGTGTTTTCATATATAAGTAGTCCTTGAGTTATAACCACATGTTCAGCAGCTGTTCAAAGTTACAACAGCACTAAAGGAGGGGGACTTGCGACCAACTCTACAAAGTTGCATCTGTTGCAGCATCCTCACAGTTATGATTGTGATCTGGGTGCTTGGTGCCCAGCTTGCAGTTATGACATCACAGTTATGTGATCATGATCACTGTTTTAAAAAAAATTATTAAGATTTTAATAAAGACAAGCAAAAACTAACAAGAACTAATATTTAAAGAAAATAAAAGAAAAAACAAAAATTTAAGAAAAAATCTATAAAGAAATAGCTTCTAATTTTCTTTATAAGTATAAATTTACCTCTTGCTTTATGGTTACACCATAGCTTTCAATTTTTTGTTATCTTTTTTTTTTCTAATTATCAAAGCCACATGCGTGCATTTCATTCTGCTTTATGCAAAAGGTCTATGAAGGATTTCCAGCCAGCAGTAAACTTAGATAGTTATCTTCACCATTCATTCCTTCGTCGCATGTAATATTCACTAGAAGCTCTTCATGACCCTTGCTTGCTTCCCACAAACAAAGTGAACGGGGAAGCCAGTTGGAAGTTAGAAGTCACTCCCAGTCCCACTATTTTTTGTCTGCCCATTGGGCCTGCCCACTTCATATCCTGTTCCCCAACAGCATCAAGTGATACTCCAAAGCAGTTGCTCGTGGTGTCCCCTGCCCCTCCATGCATCTATTGACCTGCTTGCCTGCAAAAACCCCATGTAGTCCTGGGGTTACGATGGCAACCAGAACTGCCAATATTGCTGTTGCTAAGTGATGCAATCATGTGATGTTGCGCTTTACAATCTCATTGCTTAGTAGTGGAAATTCCAGTCCCAATTTCCATTGTAACTCAAGTACCATTCATTTACAGATATAGCTGACAATTTTAACAAGAGTAATACACTGCTGATATTTATATAATTATGAAACAGTTAACAATCTTCTATTTTTTATTTGTAGGAACCTCTTGTGGCAAATGATATCCTAAACCATCCAAACTTTGTGAAGAAAAATTTGTGTAACAGTTTCAGTGACAGAACCGTCCAGAGATTTTATAAATTTAATACCAGCCTTATGGTATGTTGTTTAATCTGACCCATTCCTTAAACTGTTTATATCTAAATAGGATATTTTATGTAGATTGCACTAGAGACAGTATAACAACCTATATTGTAGCATTGGTCTGAATGGTAGATCATGGGGCGGTTTATTTATACATCTTAAATACTTGACTATTATGGGTGAATCTTTAGGCAGTCTGCTTTATCCCAGTCAGTGGCCAAAATTTTAAAAACACCACCAGCAAATTACAACGAATTGGGGGTTTGCATTGGTTTTGCCGCTCAGTGCTGAAACGCAGATATATATATATTTTGCTTCAGGGATGGGGCAGAAACAGTAGTACTCCCTGAGAATGTTACCAATCTGTATGCTTTCCATGCACTTTTGGGAACACAGAAATTATATCAGATGATGTTATTCCCTGCAGTAGGTAATATGAAACTCATGTAGAGGGCATTTAGTTAGGAAAGTGGCATTAAGTTAGCAGTGCAGAGAAAACCATAGATTTGATACTTGAGGTCAAATGTAATATTCTTTAGCTATGCAAATCTATAATGGAACGGCATTTAAAAGAGTGTGCACAGCTTTTTTCACTGCATTTCAGAGGTTGTTCCAAAACTAGAAACAGTTTTTTGTTTTGTTTTTTAATGTGTGAATTGAAATTATCGGAGGGCTGGTACATTTTTCAAGGTAGGCACTAAGGATTTTATAACTTGAAATGAAAAAAAAAAAGTACCAGTTACTCATGATGATTAGATCAAGATCAGACGAACCTTGCTCTACTAATGTGTTGCAAGAAAACAGCAGCAGGAGGGCGCTGTATACCTTACGTAAACATCTCGGGAGGTTGGCCACTGTGGAGAAAAGGTTGCCGGATCAGATGAGGCTTTGCTGGGATCCAACAGAGTGCTTGGATGCCTCACTGAAATGGAATGTGGGACACTCTGTAATCACAGTATTACTATTTGAGTGCATTAATGAACAATGTACTCTTCCTTCTCTCTAATGACTGGGAAAGGTGTAATAGGCGGCGGCTGTTTCAATGTTATTCTTTGAATCAGAAGCTTGCTAGCCAGATCGCAAGTTTTGTTTTCTTCTCTATTTGCAAAAATTGTTTTCAAAAGGTAACAAATGAGATATGTGTATATTCCATGCTTTCTTGCCCATAGAAAGCTGATATGCAGTTAGATTACATCGCTTTAGTCAGAAAAATTCATTGCCTACAGTTTATTTACATTTTTATCCGGTTGGGCTATTTTGTATGTTGAAGTATTGATTGCTGATGAGAGTTCATTTAGTGGGACACTGTAGGCTTACAGTCTAGCAGATAACATTTGTCGTAACAGGAACAATTCACTTCACGGGGAAACATGTTTTCTTCCACATGCCTGATCTGTTTTCCTTCCCCCTAGGGTGATCTGACAAATCTTGTGCACGGCAGCCACTGTTCTAAATACAAGCTGACAAGAATACCTGGAACCAATGCCTTTGTTGGAATAGTAAATGAAACCTGTGACTCACTTGCCTTCTGTGCCTGCAGTATGGTAGACAGGCTCTGTCTGAACTGTCACAGGTAAGAGGACATTTGAAATGAGACATGATTGGATTATACTTTGGATTGTGCTTCTTTAAAATGAAGGGGGATTGCAGGGCTTCTCGATAAGGTGCGTTTGGTTTTTACAGTAGCTGAGCGAAACAGCATGTGACTCAACAGGCATGTTAAGCCTTATTTACAAAATGCCTAGGCAGGTTGCTTATTTACAATATAAGGCACAGCTCAGTATTCCATGTGAGGAAGAAGCAAAACATTATCTAGCTATACCTGGGTCATCTTGACACCCTAACATTCGATTTATGGGGTCCTCTTGGTTTCTTCCAAAAAAAGTAGCTGAATTTTTATTTATTCATTAGATTTTTACCCCGCCTTTATGATTGTATAAGTAACTCAAGGTGATGAACATATCTGATACTGCTTCCTCCTGTTTTCCTCACAACAACAACCCTGTGAGGTGAGTTGGGCTGCGAGAGAATAATTGTCCAAAGTCACCCAACCGGCTTTCATGCCTAAAGCGCGACTAGAAGTTATAACCTCCTGCTTTCTAGGCCAGTACCTTCAATCACTAGATCTGTTGTATAGTTAACCAACTGGTTTCTGTTTTGTTGCAGCTCCTTTAGAAGACAGGACTATATTTTCTTTTGAGGGGGCAGGGCTGTCACATAAATAACTTTACCTGCTTGTTGGATAACTATTGGATTGCTAGGCTAGAACTGCACTTCTGTGGGTCAAGGCAGAGCTGTGTGTAGCAGTTCCAGTCTGAAATACAGCCTGTTAGTCAACACTTGAGCTGAGGCCATTTTGCTGGGTAGGAACCAAAAGAACTGAATTAGAGATTGCTTGTTACCTCAGCATAAGTTTCTTGACGACAAAGAGTTTCCACCTGCCTCTACCCAGAAATGCTTCCAGTCTGTATATTACAGCTAAGTCATCGACTTACAACCATAATTAAGCCCAAAATTCCTGTTGTTAAGTGAGACATTTGTTAAGTGAGTTTTGCCTCATTTTACAATCTTCCTTGCCTCAGTTGTTAAACGAATCGCTGTGATTGATAAGTTAGTAACCCGGTTGTTAAGTGAAGCTGGCTTCTTCCCCATTGCCTTGGGTCTTGTCAAAAGGTCAGAAAAGGTGATTCACATGATCTTGGGACACAGCAACGGTTACAAATATGAACCACTTACCACGCATCTGAATTTTGATCATGTGACTGGGGATGCTGCAAAGGGCATAACTGTAAAAACTGTCATAAATCACTTTTTTCAGTGCCGTTGTAACTTTGAACGGTCACTAAACGGACTGTTGCAAATCAAGGACTACCTGTATTCCTGAGTAAATAATCTAGTGAATTAATTCAGTCAATCTGGTTTAGGTAAACCAGGTGGCTTAGGTTAAGCCTAGTGTTCAGGATCATGTTTTATTCATTTCTCTCATGATCGTGGAAATGCTTCCTATACTGTGGCCAGGTGATCTGTGATGTATGGTGCTGCCTATCTTTTATTTATTTATTTGTAAAATTTATTGGCCGCCCATCTTACCACCAGGGCAAGATCCTTGGACTAATCTGGTGGTAAGATTTGGTCGTCGTGTTATCAAAAATGATATTGCGTAGAAAAAAAGAATAGAAAAGACAAACTTTAGGTTTGTTTAATTTTAAAAAGTGAAAAGCCTCATAAAGAAAATAGGCCTGGTGCGAAGAAACAAGATTCAGAGAATTTCCATCTTCTCTTACACTGAAACTCAGCAGCATCTATAAAGCTGAATGATGAGAGATTGTAGATAATGATAGATTAAATTTTGGATTGTGGTGCTACTACTTGCTTGAGGTATTAAAGATGATTTTTCACATTTTTTGAAAATGAGGCTACTAATGACTACTAATTGTAGTAGTTATATGCTAGTTCACATGAAATCTCCTTAGCTGTAGAGGAGTTATAGTCCTTATGGCTTCTTTGTACTGATATCATTGTAATCACTGTGAACTTTGAAAACAGTAAAATCTGAAAAAGACTCTTTACCTATATTGCCAGCAATTGTACTAGTAATAAGCCTAATATAACTTATAAACAATACTATTGGCCCTATCTGACATTAAAATTGTTTTCTCTAGCCCAAGACTCAAGATATACAGAAAGTAAGAGATAATACATATATTTATTGTTTATTTTCTTCCTGAAGAATGGAACAGAACGAATGTGAATGTCCTTGCGAGTGCCCTTTAGAAGTCAATGAATGTACAGGCAATCTTACCAATGCAGAAAACAGGTATGCATAGCTCACAATTGATTAATAATGTTATGATAATATATTGTTCAATGTGTTAGATGGGCAGTTCCATTGTTTTAAGGGTGATTATTCAAATAATAAAGTAACATAACCACTGAGTGCGTTTTTGAAACCTAGTTTTTGCATATTGCTTTCCAAATTTTAGAAACCCTAGTTGTGAAGTCCATCAGGAACCTCTGACTTTTATTGCTGTGGATTCCAGCCTACAGGATGCTCTTCCTCAGTGTATCAATACACAGTGTAATCAAAGAATGGAGAGCGGGTAAGTTACTCCATTGTTTTCCCTTAAAGAAATCAATAAAGAAATTTTTTTAACTGCTTGAAGAATTAAAATAAAAACTATCATAAAATCTGTTGAATTTACATTTAACTTTATTTAACCTAATAACATATAGCTCCTCTTCTTTGCAGATTCAGATTCTACCCTTTGAAAGTTACAAACCCTTTAAAATAACCTGCATAACAATGAAGAAATTAAATTAGAGCAGCTTGCCTGAACCTAGAACCTGAAAAGTCATTGCTTTAAGGATTCTTGGGTGGGCATTATGGAAACGGCTGCTTGAGATCTCATATTTTAATCAGGACAGAACTGGTAGCAGTAACAGAAATAGTCTTGTTCCGCTTTCAAGAAAAGGAGAGTAAGGCGGATAGAGGAAAATTAGTGTCATTTCTGACTAATGAACAAGTAAAGTATTTGGTTCACGTCTAGCACCAAGGAATCATTATTTTGTTTTACAGAACAGCTTAGCTGGTAAAAAGACAGATTGTTTTTCATTGGAAGTGCAAATTTGCACTGACAACAAAGAATAGCAAAGTGAGATAGCCTAACCTGTCTGTTGGTCTAGCTATAAAAGACTGTCTTCACAAATACATTTGTCTCCAATTACTCAATCTTGTAACAAGTAAATTTTCACAGCCGTTTCTTTATCTTGCAGAGATTGTTTTGGTGTCTTAGACTGTGAATGGTGCATGGTAGACAGTGATGGAAAGACTCACCTTGATAAATCCTACTGTGCTCTTCAGAAGGAATGCTTTGGAGGTATTGTGGGTGCCAAAAGCCCCTATACGGATGACATGGGATCCATTGGTAAGATCCATTTGGAATTTTTGATGTATTGAGATGTGATCTGGATTATCCACATAATCCTCTCCCCCCCCCCACCAACCATACTTTTTATGAGAATCACGCAGGGTGAAGCTTAGACTCAGTTTCTTTTTATCACAGCAGAATTTTGGCTGGGGAAGCAGAATATATTGGGCTACTCCTGTGTAAGACATGCTTTCTAGCCCATGCAGCCTGCAAGATGAAATGCCACTGTGGTGTATCAATTAGGATAGGAATTCAGTCTATTCATAACAGTTTTTTAATATATTCTGACATGGAGCAATGGAATGGTCACATGGCTTCTTTTGAAAGTTGGCATGATTTCCTCTTCGGGAAGTCATCCATAATCTAGCAACTATCTAGATTATTTTACAGGACTTGAGCTTCTTTAGTAGGAGATTTTCACATCATTTTCATTTTTTTCCTCCCTCTGAAATGAAAGGAGATGAAGTGATAACTTTGAATATGATAAAAAGCGCCCCAGTTGGTCCTGTAGCAGGAGGTATTATGGGATGCATAATGGTGTTGGTTCTCGCAGTCTATGCCTATCGTCATCAGATCCATCGCCGAAGTCATCAGCATATGTCTCCACTTGCAGCCCAAGGTAAGCTGAACAAATGTTTTGCTTATGGAATAGAATTACAAGAGTTTTCTGGCCCTGACTCTGATTTTGTGGAAACCTTCTGATAATTTCAAATTGAATTATAAGCATAGGCCCTATAAAATATATTTTGTTCACATTGCTCTAGTAATATGGAATAGGCACCACTGCCCTCTGCTGGATAGAGAAGTTAAAGTTGCACTGGTTTTATTAAGTCTGTCTTGGAATGTTGTAAATATTAATTCCTTCAGCTGATTCTAGAGCATGTTAGATATACGGAGTTAGCTTTCCCAGATAGATTTGCATGCCTTATGGATCCTCTATTGATACATTTAGTAATTTTTAAGAAGTTCTAAATCCATGTTTTTGCTCCAGTTGTGCAGAAAACCAAATGGCATTTTCTAGATACATCCTTTTATATAAACACATTATATAATCTCACTGTTTAGCATTTTGCCTTCTTAATAATAAAAATCAAAAGAGAGCCTGTTACTGCTGATTATAATTCTAACCATTTTCTAGCATTGATCTATGTAATTCCATGAAAATATCAACTGACATTGTACAAATAATTGGGAAAATGGGAGTTATACAAATACTGCCATAAGGGCAGGGAAAATGTTTAATCATGATCATCACTTTCCAACATTTCTATAAAAGAGCTATTATTTCCCATAAAAGAGAATATGTTACTCAGGGTTGAATTGTGGAGTCCTTAGTACTCTCTGAGCTTGGTTATTCTATTGAATGTTCACTGGTTGTTGCACTTAATTGTGCACTGATAATATTATCTAATTGGGTAATAAAATGTCTGCAAGCAAACAGCCAAACTCAGAGAATATCAAGGATTCTGGAGCTATTTATTTACTTACTTACTACTACTTTATTAAATTTATATGCTGCCCATCTCACTGTTACAACGACACTGCCTATTATTTCCTAGAATTATATGTGTGTGTGGATCTTTGGTTGTTCGGGTTTTCTTCCGCGTAAGATTCGAAGTATCTAGGCAACGTTTCGATGAAGTCTCATTCATCATCTTCAGGCTTCTGTCTTCGGCTCTTGCTTCTCAGAGTTCACTTACGCGGGAGAAAACCCGAACAACCAAAGATCCACATACAAATACCCGCGAGAACCTCAGAAAACATATATATATATATATATATGTATGTATGTGTATATATATATATGTATGTATCTATACGTAAACACACACACACACACATACACACACATCTTAAATGGAACATACATATAGCTGGCTTAAAAGAGAAGAGAGAGGTAGGGAAGCTAACGATTTTATGCCATAACCTCAACCATAATTGCTATATGGTTTCTAGGACTCTGCTACTTTGTCCTTCAAAAAGGGGTAATCCACGGCCATTTAAAAAACATTGCACTCTTACAGGCTAATGCAACCTCCCTCTCTTAATAGTTGCATTTTTCTGTTTGTAACGGTGTGCAGAAATGTCAGTCCGCATGTCCAACCTGGAGAATGAGAGAGATGAAAGGGATGAGGACAGTCATGAAGACAGAGGAATCAGTGAGTATTTAGTAATCCCATTCTAGGAAAACACAGGGAGAGGCTGCATGCTTTTTTTTCCCTGTAGTTTCCTTCTATAGACATGTAACATTATTCATCTCTATAATCATTTCAAGAGGCAAAGTGCTTTACAGTTTTGGCCCTGTCAGTTCTGAAGAGAGGCTGCATATTGCTGCCTTTCCATAGACTGAATGTAACTGTAAAAAAAAATATTGACTTGCTCATATCCAATTCACTTGAGTTTTTATCTCGGTGATTTATGAACAGGGCTTTATTCTTTGGTCCATTATTTGTCTCCAACACTTGCTATCTTACTGTTTTCTTCTGAAGACCAAATATGCCATATATCAACACTCTTGTTGTCCAGACTTAATCGATTCTTAGAAATTTATAAAATCTAGTTGCAGATTTCTTCACTACGCTTTCAAGAACTGTATAACGTCCATAGTTAAATAAGAGCCACCTACCCACCTCTTGATAAAATAAATAGCTGATTTGAAAACCCTAGGGAAATGTAGCAATCAAACCCATGGTTATTATTCTGTAGATGTTCCTGCATTTTCCTTACTATGTTATAACTACTGCTAATATTTCCTGCAGTTTTGCAAAAAAACATTGCATTTTAAGATACCTTAAAGCGGTATTTAAGGTATACTAAAGGTATCCCTTAAATACCCTAGGTAGCATTTTGTCACCCAATTGATTCTAAGTAAGTTACAATGCTGTCTGGGAATCAGAAATAGTTACTATTCTTTCATTCTGCTTTAGATGCTTGATCAGTTTTGGAATTTGACAACAATGTAATAAGATATTTTATAATGTCTTCAGAGAGATCTGGTTGATGAGTATGTGAAGTTATCCTTTGTTTCCTCTCTCTCTCTCTCTTTCTTTGTTCTGCTCACTATAGTCAGTAACACTCGGTTCATAGCAGCAGTTATCGAGCGACACGCCCATAGTCCTGAACGCAGGCGCCGTTATTGGGGACGATCAGGAACAGAAAGCGATCATGGTAAGATCATAGAGGCCGCTCATCTTGCTTGTGCTTACAATATAGCATATTTTCTAAGAAAGTAATCCCAGGGCTGTTCTTCATTTAAAACAAATTTGATGCTTTCCATTCCAGGGTGAGGCCCTTGCCAACTTTGAAGCTATTTTTGTTTCATTCCTCCACTTAGCATCTTAATCACTGATATATCAACACTGATCTATGAATGTGCACCCTTACAAAAAGCAAAGTTTTTACAAAAATTAGATTCCCCCTCTTTTACCAGTAAGGTCATTTGAAACATTTTAATACTTGTCCCATTAACTTTGTTCTATTCGATAAAGAATAACACTATTTCTTTTTAACCACACAGTGTTTATTTTTAAGCCCATAGATACCAAGAGTTTATTTCTTGTTGCTAGGTTAAATTAAGCCTAGGTTAAATTTTAAAAGGTTGAATGCCTTCTTGGCTTACTGGTATGCACTATGATTCATAAGGAGATTTGCCACAGACAGAATTACTGCAAACACAGTTTTCCTTTGGTTCACATAGAAATAAAATGATTAAGGAAGTAGGATTTGGGCTTTTGTGACATTTCTTCCTAAATTAAAAAAATAATTTACAGTGCAGGCTGGGAATGACTTGTTTTATTACATAATTGACCAGTCACCAATCAGATTGGGCAGTTGTTGCTAAATCTTCCATCCTGTATCAAATTGATGAGTCCACTAAGAGGATTAATGTGAGGTTGGCATATTTTTCTTTTGCCAGGGCCGTCAGCTGTATCTTGGTATCACTTTCACTATAAATACAGTATGATACACTAAATGCACAACCAGGACAGAATGAGGACTTCTGTACTTGATTTCCTGGAGTCCTTAATGTTTCCAGATGTTCACTCAATATGTGGCAGTGATCCCTGACTGAAACTTGCAGGCCCTTATATCTTTCATAGGACTGCGACCCTGTGATATTTCTAGCTTATATAAACATGACATTAGAAAGGCAGATTGTAGAAAAGCCTTTTTTAAAGTTCCCAGTGACAAGCTCTATAATTTTAAAGAGAAAAATGGCATCTCTACTCTACTCAGACTTGAATGCCTCCATCTATTATTCGGATACAGAATTTTGTTCACTAGAACAAAAGCAAACAAACATGGAAATGCTATGTTATGCTTCTTTGGCAACATTGTATAAAAAGTATCATGCTTTAGGCCATAAGAATATAGGTAGTCCTTGACTTATGACCACAATTGAGCCCAAGATATTTGTTAAAATTCAGTGAGTTTTGCCTCATTTTGCGACCTTTCTTGCTAGTGTTGATAAGTGTATCATTACAGTTGTTAATTTAGTATCACAATTGTTAAGTAAATCTGGCTTCCCCATTGACTTTGCTTGTCAGAAGGTTGCAACAGGAGGGAATGACCCCAGGACACTGCAACTGTCATAAATATGAATAAGTTACCAAAATTTGAATTTTGATAAATGACCATGGGGATGTTGCAAGGTTGTGTGTAAAATGGTCATAAGTCACAATTTTCAGTGCCATTTGGCCACTAAATGAACTGTTGTAAGGTGAGAACTACCTGTATATGAAAAAACTAAATCGCATAAATATTGGCAGTTGGTTCCTAATAACCAGGAGGTCAAACCTTGGTTGGTTTGTTTCCAACAAACACTTTTCACCGGAAGCTTAGACAATAATATTTCCTTGGCAAATTTTCCTGTTCATGACATGTGATTGTAACATTATTATCTGAAATATCTAATGCATTGCATAATTTCCTTTTCTCAGCATTTCCCTCCAAGTAATTAATATAGACAAGCAGAGTTTAAACAATAGCCAGAGATTCAGACTATGCCAACATTGGAACGTCTCTTTACATGCCTCTCAGGGCCGTTGGCAGTGTGATTATTTTTCTTTCGCTTACTTCCTTTCATTTGCAGAGGATTGGAGGCTGTGGTTGAGTCATTATACAAAGGTTAATGTTCATTAACTGCTGTTACAGAATTATAGACCTTCTTCCTGCTTTATCATAATTACTTTGCATTTAATAACATAATAGGTGCCAAATTGTTTCAGAAACTTTGTTGAGTTAACTATGTGTAATGCAGCTTGTTTTCCTATCACACTTTTTTTTAAAATTGTCAGCATTTGGGAGAAAGTAACACAATTAAATCTAGAGGCAACAACTGCAAAGAGTACTGTTGCATAAAAGTAAAAATAGATGTTAATGTCAATGCATGGGACTAAGTTTTTTCAAACTGGGCAACTTGAAGATATCTGGACTCCAATCTCCAGAATTCTCCAGCCAACATGTTGGCAATTGCATATATTTAATATAGGACTCTGTGTTCCCCTACTTACAAATTCGCTGCACTTATGCAATTCAGCTACCGGTAATTGCACTATCACATATCCAATTGAATTTTATAGAATTGTAAACTGGCACTTTTTACATTTTGCCAGAGTGTGATTTTTATTTTTTATTTTTACTTTGAAATCTATTCATTCTTAATTTTATTAAGTACTCAAAATTATTTACTCATATTTCACATTTCTAAACCACCCTTCTCTTTCAAAGGATAAAAAAAAACAGTCATAAACTACCCATGAACCATTGGGCCATTGTATCAGAGATCAGTCTTTATTTAAACAGATAAACAGAATGACCAGGGGAGGGCAAAAAAGCAGTGGAAATGACGACTTCGTGCCAGCTTCCCCATTGACTTTGTTTGTCGAAAGCTAGCAAAGAGTTTGTCAGGAATCATGAACATGTGACTGTGGCTGACTACATCAATGCTGCAGTGCCCACAATCTTGCAGATGCAACTATTGTGAAGATCCTTGAAATTTCAGTTACACAGAATCCAAGATTTTGTACATATTATTTAAGTTAGCAGATTTGGGGTAACTTGATTTAAAGATTTCTGTGCTATAATGTGCCTTTTGGGTTAATTGAAGTTGATGTATAGGAAAGCCGTAGTAGCACATAGATTTTTATGGTACAGTTCAGCATGATGGGAACATTCTGAATTTGACACATTTGGGGCATTTATTTTTTGCACTTATTGCAGAGGTAGCTGAAAACCTCACAAAATAGAGGTACAATTGGCTGAAATACACTTTAGAATTCTGGGTTTTAGTGGTGCTGTTTCCAGTCAATGTTACCGATAACTAAGGCAGATTAAGGCTTTACAGCATCAGCTAAGATGAAAGGAAACTCAAATAAGTTCCCCTAGGGGAGTTTAAATTGCTATTTTGGGGGGGTGGGGGTGGGGGTGGGGTTCTCCATTGTAACTTCACTGTCTCAATTACAGTATTGAATAAATTGTTCAGCAGATGCAGAACAATTTCTCTTTATCAAAGAGAAACTCTGTTCATGATATTGATTCAGATTGGTATATAGTAAAGTATGCTCCAATGTGGCTTCTTTTTCATAGGTTGCTAAGTGCAAAGAAGCCAGATTTCGATTGTTAATATGCTAAATTGATGAGGACCACTGCTTTCTCTATTTCTGGTGATTTTGCTTGTTGCAAGTCAACCACCTGTCTGATTTAGAGCAGCCCCATTCCGTACAACTATGTTAAAACTAGAGTGGTACAGGAGAAGAGAAAAATCCCACCGATTAACAACAATATATTTACAAGGAAATAAATGTCTATATTAGCAAACTACTGTACCAACTCAATGATATCTATTGACCAGCTTTTAACTATGACAAATAAATAAAATAAAAGTAATCATGTAAATATGGTCTGTGTTAGGAGTATTTAGTTGTTATTGTATCCCACCTTTATTATTTTTTAAAATTACTCAAGGCAGTGAACATAACCAATACAACATTCTTCTCCTATTTTCCCCACAACAACAATCCTGTGAGGTGGTTGGGCTGGGAGAGCGAGTCACTGGCCTGAAATCGCCCAGCTGGTTTTCATGGCTACAATAGGACTTGAATTTATGGCCTAACTTGGGGGCTTAATCACTAGGCCAAAAGGAAATAGACTATTCCTTTTCTGTTTGGCCATGCTATCATCATACTGGGTATCTTCGTTCTTTGACCATTCCCAGGGATTTTGGAGCTTTTCTGGAAGTTAGGTCCAGTGCTCAGGATTAATTTAGCCATCCAGAGTTGCTTTCGATAATGAAATGGTTGGCATAAAATTTTAATAAACAAATAATATATAAATTGCCATTGAGTGCAAACAGAATGACATAGAACATTCTGGAACTTTCCATTCTAAGAAGGGTAAGTTATGCACATATCTACAGAACAATAAGAAAAAGGAAAGTCAAGGATTAGGAAGAAAAAAAGCTGGAAGAGTTTGATCCATACACTTTGTGACTCCTACATTATTTGTTAATTATTGGTATAGTTTGCTTTTGGTCCAGAATCGTATATTACTTATGCTTACAGCCAACTTTCCATCTTCTCCAATTCCCCCATGGTTCTGATAGGTAGTCAATCCTTCAAGGACTGAAAACACTTCCCCTCCCTTGCCTATCTTTACTTTCCAGAGAGCCAGGGAGGGCCACTACTGAGACCTTTCCTCCATCCCCATTCCTCCTTTGGACTCACTATTTTGTTGTTGTTATCAGGATTGATTAGTCTATGGTGCAGCTCTTCTTCCTGTCTCCCAAGGTTATTCTCACCATCCATTATTCATCATACATTAGGGCCATTCTATTTCATTTGAGAAAGTTCAGCACAATAGAAAACTACCTCTATTCTTACTGGAAGTTGATAAGTTGCAATTTGCATTTTTTTTTTCTATTCAGAAAAAGTGATTTGTTCATTGCTGGCTTTCCCAAGATGGTCAGACCGACTAATCATTTGCTACTTTGTCATTGGTCTCCTCAGCATATGAACTTCTAAGCCTGATGACACGTCTTGTTTACTGTGGCATAATTTTCAAAGGAATTTTCCTATATGATAGCTTATCTTTCACCAGGCACCTGAAGTAGGATATGTTTTGTTTGCTTATTTCTTAGTTTTACACCTATCTTTGATTCAGAAGCTCTTGCTTCTGTTTTTTTCTTGCAACAATAAGGGTTGGGCTGAAAGTCACCAATTGAGCTCCCATATCTGAAGATGAACTTTGTACATGAAAGAAAGAAAAAGTCCAAACTATAATAATAATAATTGTGGGCAAGCCAGTTTTGTGCATATTTCCCTTAAAAGTGAATTTCACAACTAAGCACTAGGCTTTATTTAGTCCAAATTGACTATGGATAGCTCTTACAACTGAAACTTATTGTATAGACTTTTAGTATAGTTGCATTGCTTAAAAATTCTTGTGTTGTTTAAAAATCTGTTTACAAGGACTGTGTTGAGTTTTAAATTCTTCCTGCCTTTTAAGGCTTTGCAATTACATATGTCAAAAAGAAATCATAGTGAGAAAAATTATATTTTAGTGGTATGATGCATACTATAACGTGTTGTTTATTGTATTTGCAAACTCATTAATTTAGAACTAAAAAGAATCTGACTAAAACTATTGAAAAACCTACATTGGTACAAGAAATAAATACACTCTCATACCCTTTATTTTTCAAAAAGAAGATTGTCCCCAACAATTTGAGTATACTTGACTATTAAAAGTGGAATTTATTTATGCATAAGAGTTGTTTTGAATAAAGTAAATCCTAAGTTTTTTTAACTAATGGGAGGATGCAATGTCCATAGACTCAAATGCCTCTTAAATAGCAAATACAGGCATTCCTTGACTTACAACTACAATTGGGACTGGAATGTTGGTCATTTAACAACATGATTGTTAAACGAGGAATTGCACGAGTGCTTCGTTCAACTACCACAATCCTGGCACTCCCAATTGTGGTTGTTAAGCAATCTTGCACATGATTAAGCAGATGGAGTCCCAGGTAAGGTGCACAAGATGCCTCGTGGTGTAGGACAACACCCTGGGAAACACTGCTCAGGAACTGAAAATCCTCCATGCCAAAATGCAAGCAGGATTTTCAATCCCTGAATGGCTGACAGCTAGTGGCAAGAGGCATTTGTGCAAGGCCTGTGCCAGGTGCCCCCCCCCGCAAAACGCCTGAGGTCCCCCACATTCCTTTCCTGAATTTGTTCTCTCTGCTTGTGTTTCGGTTCCTTCTCACCTCAGGCTGGCTGAAAGAGCTGCCTGCCAAAGGAGTTCAGCTCCCCGCCATGTGTGGGAGGAAACTCCTCTGGTGGAGTGCATGAATGGAGCTAATATCTTTAGGCAAATTTCCACTGAAGGAATTCAGTTCCCCTCCATGCATGGGAGAGAACAGGTTTACAAAGAGCACACCTAAAATGGTGGACCAATTCTGTTCACTGTGTGTTAGTCCACCAAATTGACATCAAGGAATTTGAGAAGGTCGCTCAAGTATTACCTACATCTTGTTGCAGTAAATGAAGCTTATGGAAGATAGATAATTTGTATAATCATAAAGAACATTATTTGAAACCTTGATTTATCTAATAAAAATCACAAAATATTAAACGGTGCAGAAAACTATTTGGTGTTTTATGTTGATCATTTTCAACATATATGAGGGTTACTGATTGTATATCTACTTTATTTATTTATTAGATTTTTATTCTGCCTTTATCACTTAAAGCAACTCAAGGCAACGAACAAACCTAATACGCGTTTCTCCTCCTATTTTCCCCATAACAAGAACTCTGGGGTGGGTTAGTCTGAGAGAGAATGACTGGCCCAAAATCACCGAAGCTGACTTTTCAAAACTTAATGAATTAGTCAAATTACCACAGGCAGATGAATTAAACAACAGATATGCAACAGCATTCTTTCCATAATGTTTTGAGGGGGGGTTGTACAAAATCAGAAACCTCAAAACATACAAAGGAAAGGAAGTCAAACTCTGTTTAAATAACCTAACACTCCTGCAACAGTCAGCATTGTGAGGTGATGATTTTTCTTTCCTGCAGTGTGTTAAATTATGAACATGAATGATCACTTCTAAGTATTATGAACATTATTGGTTCATGTGGCTTTGTTTTTCAGGCTACAGTACTATGAGTCCTCAGGAAGACAGCGAAAACCCTCCCTGCAATAACGACCCATTATCAGCTGGCGTAGATGTGGGAAATCATGATGAAGATTTAGACCTGGAGACCCCACCTCAGACTGCTGCCCTTTTGAGTCACAAGTTCCACCACTACAGGTTGCACCATCCCGCCCCCCATCATAGTCACCACTTACAGGCTGCAGTGACGGTACACACGGTGGATGCAGAATGCTAACGACTTTGGACTCAGGGAAAGAATTGCATCTCATGACACAGGCAGCAGGAGCCCAACTCAGTGTTCATCCTTGGTGCCAGACATTGGTTTTGGTGACTGTCACAGGACTCATTTCAGACGCAAACATTCTCATTCTAAAACATAAAGCTGGCTCAGGAATAGAGAAGTTTAAGGTGATGAAGAACCTGCCATAACACTCAGTAAAATGGAATAGAGTAAGAATGTTCGACCTCGAAGCACAAGACGGAAGGTTTACACAATAAGCAGAGCGTTTTGAACTGTGTTAATCTGAGCCAAGAAAATAGTCAGCTCAGATGAAGGCGAAGAAGGTTTTGCTTTCCTTAAACGGGAAGAACAGAAATTGCAGCCAGAGACAAAGAAGGTGCTGGATTTAAAAATAACCATTGCCACAAGGTTTTCATGTGTGTGGGCTCCTTTTTTTTTAAAAAAAAAAAAAGTTCATTGCTCTTACAAATTATTGTATAGGCTCTAGGACAATGCATCTGGAGATTTTTAAATAAAGGATTATTTTTGTACTATTTATTGAACTCAAAACACTCATGAACTCTGAGAGAAAGGAAAGGGAGGGAATAAAGGCCTCACAGACTTTCCGTGAATAACAGCCTAAAGTTTTATTTGTGTTGGTGACGCTGTGGTTCTTAAGAGACTTGATATTCAACCCCGTTCTGCACCATGCTATAAAGGGAAAATGAAGAAATTGTGTGCTGATTTGTTTACATAATTAAAGGTTCGTTTCCATGGTCATTTTGTACACTATAAACATGGCTTGTTGTGTTTATATATGTAATATCACCCTTCTCCACAATTTATATATATGACTAAAATTGTGTAGAAATGTGATACCAAGTCTAAGCATCCTATAAGCATTGAAGAATCCTATTCTTCTCTCATTCTCCCAGCTTACTTATCTTCCAACTTGGGGCAAAATTCCATTTCATATAGTAACAAAGTGATCAGTGCCATTCGTGATTGATAAATTGAAAATGCCAATTGTTTCCATTTCACACAATGGAAATTTTTCAGAACGTAATGATAAAAGATCTCTCCCATTTATCTGATGTTTAATACTTTTAGTTCTTCACTGGAGATTTGACATCTGACTTGACACATGGACCATATAATTTTAAGCTAGCTTTAAGTTGCTGTGTTTTGTTTTAAAGTGACTAAAATATTATGGGCACATCTTTGCACCATGCATATGATAAACATTAATCTATATGTAGTTTTTAAAAAGGTATCTGAATATTGTTTTAATAATAGGGTACTTAATAGTTATGTAAATGGTTTTTAACAGTATGGTAAAGTATGTGTGTGCTATCATGATGCCCTTTATACTATGTATAAAATCACAATTTCTAGTGGAATAAAAGTATGTAAAGTATGGATTTATGAATTGCTTTTGACAGATCCAAATGTAATTTGGCATAAAAATGTTTTATATTAACTTGGAACTATACAAATTTCTTCAGCATTAGATATTCTCTTCCAGATGCTAACTTCATTTCTAAATATTCAGGCTCACAGATGATTTGAGAATAGCAGTGGGGAGTTGCGTGTGAATTCTATGGTCTTCTGATATAAATGGAGAGAATCTGTACTCACTGTAAGGAATCTTTGTGTGAAGAGGATATGGCCTTAATGGAATTGATTAGAAAGCTTCTCTTCCCATGTGGTTGTGGTGTTGTCATTTGATTTAGTCCTTAGAATTAAACAAAACACTTTTAAGAGTTCAGACACAGCCTGAACACACTTTTATTATAACTGCAGTTGCCGTGTTATACTTTTTAAAAAATTAATAATGTTCCATTTCAATTCCTGCAGAAACTGATCAAATACTGGGAAATAGTTAAAATTCCCAGGATTTAATAATGGCTGGAAGTAACTACAATAGAAAATGAACAACATCTGCATACAGTACATGGAAATTGGATAATTCAGATTTCAAAGATTTTAATTTGTAATTGTCATTTTGAAAATGGATAAATGAAAATGGCTACATTAATAACATTTACCGACCTTGAGTATGTTTTTTTTAAATAATATACCCTCCCTAGAAGCATAACCTGGAACATTTTCTGTTAAATGAAATAGTCATAAAGTTTTTACATTCTAACCATATTGTTACTGTTTTCACTTGGATTTTAAAGGGCATCTGCCCAGAATGATGAAACTCTAATATTTAGTCTACCCCCCTAGTCTTTCTTGAGAACTAGTTTTGGTTAAAGGCCCTGGACTGGGTATCAGGTGACCGTCTTGCCTTAAACCAACTGGGTGGCTTTTGGCTAGTTTTTTCCAGCTCTTAAAAGAAAAACGGAATGGCAAACCAGTTTTGGGGGTGGGGGAACTTGCAGGCTTTGGCCAGAACTAAGATATGGAGGTCACCCAAAGTTGTGAACTGTCCATGTGCATACTTAGCAAGAAGCAGTCCCAAGGAAAAAAGATCTGAGTTGTTCCCCATGTATTCACCCCACAATCTCAGTATATTATCTATTCTAAGGAAAGATGAAGGGACTTGGGGTGTGGGGGAACTTTCATGCAGAATCTTAGGAATTTAAGTGTCATTGCACTCAGTTGTTTCAAAACCCCTCCAAAAGCAGGAATGTGCATAAATAAGTACATTTGTCAAGATTACTTAAGATAGTGTTATTTAAACAGCAAGAATTTAATTCACCATTTCTTTCTTTGCTTAGATGGTCTTCCACTTGATAGTAATGATTAATGAATTCTGGGTTTATAGGTACAATACTGTTGCAATTGGTAGCAATCCAGCCAGCACGCAAACAATTCAGCAGGATTCATTATATAGAAGAAACTTCTTTATATACAATAATATAAAACATGATTTATGTATACAAAACCCATGCAGTTCTTGCAATGTGGTAGAGAGAAAAAGAAGTAGCAAGTACACAAACAAGTACTATCAAGCAAAGACAAAATGAACTTTCTTATACACAGTATAGTTAAGCTAAGCTACGCACAGGCTCCAAGCTGTCACCAAACAGTCTCCATTGGCTGACTTATTGCCATGTCTATTCCAGTTCATGATATACGCTGACAAATACTATATTATTATTTCACATTTCCCTTTTTTATATTTAATGGGTTTTATACTAGAAGCTCCAGCATGTCATATTTAAAGATGTAAAGGAAGAGAGTCTTAACTCATATTTTGAGGTTGTATTATACTTAAAAAATCTCCCATGAAAATCCAGTTCTCTTCAAGGTATTTACCTCACAGATTCTCATATATTGATGTGTTTCTGGTTTTTAAAGAGACAGAAATAATAAACTTTTGAATTTTCCAAAGTAAACTATATTGTTCCGGCTATCATTTTCATTTCATGCTATTTCCAAATCCTGCAACAGGGACTATAATTCTAGGATTTTGTGTGAAATCTTAATAGTTAGTCATGGCTGCCAACCCCAACTAAGCTACAGTATTGATTTTGGACCTGCCAAGATCAGGAATGGACTGTATTTTCTATTTATTATAATGAAGAGCCAGATCTTTTCAATTGTCATTGACAAAAAGCCTTTAATTGATGATCTTACACAGTTGCAAGGAGCAGACATCATTTGAGTTAAGGTTTTGATGTGTTAAGTCATGGGTGTCAAACTCTATCCCATCATGTGATGTAACATTTTTTGCCTTTGCAGACCCGGGTTGGGTGTGGCCTGTATGTGACCCATCTGGCCCATGGGCCGCCAGTTTGACACCCCTGTTTTAGGCGACCAGGATGAGTTATTCCAAAATTCTTGTGAGATAATAAGAGATAATTTATTTGATGCAGATATAATGCATCAATCAGTTTTAACTCAAAGGCAAACACTATTTTCATATATGTGGCTTCCTTATTGCTTCATGATCAAAATTAGGCATTTACTGTACAATAACATGTAAAGTAAAAGAACAGTACCATTTATGCCACAGATTAAGCTACAACATAAATTCTTGAGTGTTTGCTTGAGTAGAATGACATGGTATAAAAATGTAAAAATAGTTTTAGTACAGGAATCCATGTTTGCAGACCCAGCTAAAATTTCATAAAATTTGCTAATCTTCAAAACACACTTAATCAAATTTTAAAATAATTCATTTTAATTTAGTGAGGTTAGGTTTTAAAGTATCTGTTGCCAGATCTGTCTCAATTGCCACTTTTTGATTCTGATCAGCCCTTTCTATTTAGCAAGAATAATGAACCATGGCTTCAGGTAAAAAGGGACCTAAGCCTGCAATTGAAAGGTGATTTTACCCAGATAAAGGTGTGTGTGTGTGTGTGTGTGTGTGTGTGTTTTACTTTAGTTTATATGCTGTTCTGTTTCCAAAGGCTTCAAGCAGCTTACAAATAACAATACTGCAAGAGTAAAATATAAACAATTACAAACATGTTAACAATTACTAATTGCCAGTCATTGTTAATAACTGACAATGGCAATGTATACAACAAGGCCCTGATACATCATGGTTGAGGCAGCAGGATCTTCAAGCATTCCGAAAATACCTGCCTGAAGAGCTATATTCTCTAGGGCTAGGCTTTCTACAAATGTAATTGGGAGCTGGTAGTTCAAATATCTGGAGGTAGATATTCTAAAAGGAGGGTCCACATTGAAAAAGCTTGAGTATGGGGTTACTGAAGATGTCATTATCAATGTTGAGATTCTCCGAAGCTTTCCTTGCTAGATCTCATTGGTTGGGCAGATTGGATTCATAGGAAGAAATCTCCAAGTTATGGAGATCCAAGCCAGTAATTTGAATTGCATCCTGAAGCTGTCAGTCAGTGTAACTGCCATTGGAACAGTGTAACATGCGTGAATCTAGTTTCTTCGATAACTATTTGGACCACTACAGTAAAAGCTAAATCACCAAAAGTTTCTGAATAGACTTCAGCCACAGTCTAATATAGAGGAAATTATAGTGAACTACCTGTTATATGAATGGCCACAACTGGCACACGAGTTGTAGTTTTATGGAGGCATTCCTGGACATAGCCTCTGTCAGCTGTTCAAGCAAAAATTATTTGAGTCCAAAAATATTTTATACTAATTCTTATAAAAAGAAAATGCAAACTAGAGAT